GGCATGAACATCTTGCCCGCTGAATACTCCACAAAGTACGTCAGCGTGAACAAAAAAGTAAGCAGCAAACGGGAAACCATTTTCTGTCGCTTCCTCATTTCACATGTCCTGTTTGGGCAAGAATGTGTGTGAAGAATGTGTGCAGCCATTCAGGGTTGTCTACCATGGTTGAAGTACAGGAGTGTCCAACCTTGGCAACTTTTAAGACTTGTGGACTTCGACTCTCAGAATTCCTCAGCCAACATGGAAGTCTCTAGCATGGAAGTGTCTAAGTTCACAAGTCTTAAAAGTCCTTCACCTACACCAGGAGGGTCGAACCTTGGCAAATTTAAGACTTGTGGACTCTGCACAATATAGATATAATTTTCAGATCTATCTATCTATCTATCTATCTATCTATCTATCTATCTATCTATCATCTATCTATATCTATCTATCTATCGTATATCTTTTATCTACCTACCTACCTATCTGTCTATCTATATCTATCTATCTATCATCTATCATCTATCTATATCTATCTATCGTATATCTTTTATCTATCTATCTATCTATCTATCTATCTATCTATCTATCTATCTATCTATCTAATCTATCTATCCGTCTATCTTCTATCATCTCTCTCGCTCTCTCTCATTTATCTCTAGCTATCTATCAGATTGTTAGACGATAATTTTCAGATCCATTCACAGATATAGACAAATGAAATAGATTAGATAGAGATGATATATAGATAGATGATAGATTAGAGATAGGTATAGATGATAGAGATAGATATATGGATGATAGATTAGAGATAATCGTATCTATCGCTAATCTATCTCTAATCTATCATCTATCTATATATCTATCTCTAATCGATCATCTATCAATCACACCTCGATAGATTAGATAGAGATAGATGATATAGATAGATATGATAGATATATAGATAGATGTAGATATATAGATGACAGATATATAGATGATCGATTAGAGGTAGGTAGCAGTGGTGGGTTGCCACTGGTTCGGACCGGTTCGCAAGAACCGGTAGTAAAATCGGTGGGAGGCCCCGCCAGCTGCCCTGGATGTCATCATCGGCAGTCAGCGCATACGCAGAAGCTTCTGCACATACGTAGAAGCAAGGCGTGCACATGAGCGAAGCGAGCGCATGTGCATGATCCCGTTGTGAACCGGTAGTAAAGGTAAGTAGAACCCACTCCTGGTAGGTAGGTAGGTAGGTAGGTAGAGACAGACAGACAGACAGAATATAGCTCAGTATCAAGAGAGAGAAATCAGGGTTGGGCCTTGTTCCTGTGCTCAGCTTCATTGGATATTTTCATCTACTTTTTTACAGACGCTCTTGGCAGAAATCATGGTTTATCAGCAAATGTCTCTTGTTGCAACCTCTTTTGCCTTTGGCTGGAGCAAGTGGAACCTGAAGAGTGGAGAGAATAATCTGGTCTTTAAGGTAGGAGTGAGTGGCGGTACCAGAAACCCTGCCTAGTTAAATCCAGGCAGAGCTGGCAGCCCCAAGGCCCCACTCTGGGTGGCATAAAAAGGTGAAGGTTCCCCTCGCACATATGTGCTAGTCGTTCCCGACTCTAGAGGGCGGTGCTCATCTCTGTTTCAAAGCCGAAGAGCCAGCGCTGTCTGAAGACGTCTCCGTGGTCATGTGGCCAGCATGACTAAACGCCAAAGGCGCATGGAACGCTGTTCCCTTCCCACCAAAGGTGGTCCCTATTTTTCTACTTGCATTTTTTACGCGCTTTCGAACTGCTAGGTTGGCAGAAGCTGGGACAAGTAACGGGAGCTCACCCCCATTACGCGGCACTAGGGATTCGAACCGCTGAGCTGCCGACCTTTCGATCGACAAGCTCAGCGTCTTAGCTGCTGAGCCACCGTGTCCCTTTGCCTGGGTGGCATACAGGTGGTTAAAACCAATCAAAATATTGCCAATCATTCACATCTGTCCAGGCCCCCCCAAAAATCCCTTCTGTTTTTTTCCTAAATTAGCACAAAAACTAGCGATAAAACCAGTCAAGCAACCAGGGATATCTGCAAAGCATGGTTTAGATCAGAGGTCCCCAACCTTGGCAACTTTAAGACTTGTGGACTTCAACTCCCCCACGGATAGGGCTCGCAACCTGGGTGTCCTCCTGGATTCACGGCTGTCGTTAGAAGAGCATGTGACGGCCGTGTCCGGGAGGATTTTTCATCAGGTTCGCCTGATCCGCCAGTTGCGTCCCTATCTAGATCGGGACTCCCTACACACAGTCACTCATGCCCTCGTTACTTCTTGTTTGGACTACTGCAACGCTCTCTACATGGGGCTCCCCTTGAGGTGCACTCGGAGGCTCCAACTGGCGCAGAGTGCGGCCGCGCGGGTGGTGATGGGAGCGACATGGAGTTCCCATGTAACACCTCTCCTGCGCGAGCTGCACTGGCTCCCGGTGGTCTTCCGAGTGCGCTTCAAGGTTTTGGTTATCACCTTTAAAGCGCTCCATGGCTTAGGACCTGGTTATTTACGGGACCGCCTGCTACCACCAATAGCCTCCCACCGGCCAGTACGCTCCCATAGAGAGGGGCTCCTCCGGGTGCCGTCGGCCAAACAATGTCGGCTGTCGGCCCCTAGGGGGAGAGCCTTCTCTGTGGGGGCACCTACGATTTGGAACAAGCTCCCCCCGGAGATACGTAGGATCCCGGATCTGCGCACCTTCCGCCCGCGCTTAAGACTTTTCTATTTTATCAAGCTGGCCTGGCCTAAATCTCCCCCCTTTTTAAATGTGGAAATTTTAAATTTTTAAATTTTAAATTCGTCTTATTTATAGGGGTATGGGTAAGGCGTTTTAAATTGGGGAGCCAGTTTGGATTTAATTCTGTTTTAAACGCATTTTAATTGTTTATATTGTATGTTTTTTAATTTTGGCTGTTCACCGCCCCGAGTCCTTCGGGAGAGGGGGCGGTATAAAAATCTAATAAATAATAATAAATAATAATAATAAATAACTCCCAGAATTCCTCAGCCAGCAAAACAAAGCTGGCTGAGGAACTCTGGGAGTTGAAGTCCACAAGTCTTAAAGTTGCCAAGGTTGGGGACCCCTGGTTTAGATGACATGTGGAGTCCTTGGATCCTAAGTCCTTGAGTCCAAGAGGACGCGTGGGTAGCTATGACAACACTAATAAGGCTCTGCCTGTGTGTGCGTGTTCCATGTCAATTTTGCCGGTAAAGATTCAACTTTGTCCATTGTACTCTTCCATTTTAAAAACGGTTGAACAAACCCGACAGTTCCTTCAGAAACAAATAAAGGAGTATAATTTGTAGCTCAAGGTTGAAATGAGGGATCTGAGCTTGGTTGTTTTCTTGTAGACGTTTCAATACCCAGCTAGGTAATGTCATCAGTGTTAGAAGCAGTAGCACTTAAAGACTTATGAAGTCTACAGAGAAGTTCCCTGAAGATGGGCTCCAACACGAGTCCAAAAACACGGAAGACAAAACCTCTGGTCCCAGTGACTGACCCAGATTGGATCTATAACAGTAACAGAGTTGGAAGGGACCTTAGAGGTCATCTAGTCCAGCCCCCTGCTCAGCCAGAAGACCTGTACTAGGGATTCAAACCGCCAAACTGCCGACCTTTCTGATCGACAAGCTCAGTGTCCTAGCCACTGAGCCACCTAGTCAGCAACTTAAGATTTATGTATCTTGCAACTGAAGATTTTGCAATTTAAGATTTATATACCGCTTTACAGGGCTTTGCAGCCCTCTCTAAGCGGTTTACAGAGTCAGCAGATTTCCCCCAACAATCTGGGTCCTCATTTTACCCGCCTCAGAAGGATGGAAGGCTGAGTCCAACCTTGAGCGGGTCACAATAGAAGGAATCGAATTCCTGGTATTGAGCGGTGAGAGTTAGCCTGCAATACTGAATCAGAATCGAGCTGGAAGGGATCTTGGGAGGTCTTCTAGTCCAGCCCCTTACTCAAGCAGGAGATCCTATACCGTTTCAGACAAGTGACTATCCAATCTCTTCTTAGAAACCTCCAGTGATGAAGCACCCACAACTTCTGAAGGCAAGCTGTTCCACTGGTTAATTGTCCTCCCGGTTAGGAAGTTTCTCCTTAATTAATTAAGAGCCTTGGTAGCGCAGCAAACTAAAGCGCTGTTCAGTAACACCAGCTGCCTACAATTACTGCAAGTTCAAATCTCACCAGGCTCAAGGTTGACCCAGCCTTCCATCCTTTCGAGGTAGGTAAAATGAGGACCCGGATTGTGGGGGCAATAAGCTGACTTTGTATAAAAAAGAACACCGCTTAGGGGGGGACCCAAAAGCCCTACTAAGCAGGTATATACAAAATTGCTTAACGCATTGTAAGCCGCCCTGAGTCTCCGGAGAAGGGTGGCATATAAATCGAACCAATAAATAAATAAAATAAATAATTCCAGATTGCTTCCTCCTTGATTAGTTTCCATCCATTGCTTCATGTCCTGCCTGCTGGTGCTTTGGAAAATAAGTTGACCCCTTCTTCTTTGTGGCAGCCTCTCAAATACTGCATTCTAACCACTGCAACACCAGGGCTCCTTCCCTCCTAGAAGGGAGCACTAGCTAGCCCTGATGAGGTTACCTAGTTGGGTAATGAAACGTCTGCATGAAAACAACCAAGCTCAGAGAGCACCCAGAATCCCTTCAGAATCTGGTGAGGTGTCCACCCTCTCTTTCTTCTGCCCAACTGCAGGCCGGTGAACATCTGACCGAAGAAGACCAGGTCCAAGAAGAAGAATGGGATCTTTACATGTTCAACGGCCAAAGAGCTCAGAAGCTGGCGATCGACGAAGAGAGCGATGCTTTCTCCAAGAACATTGCGGAAGGCTCCGAGTTCCACTCTACTCTCTATCATCTCCTGAAAGATACTGGGAGCAAAGATGCAATGGACCGGGTCAGACAGAGCAACTACCTCTTCATCGATGCCGTCTACCAACTGCTCCTTGCCACCAGGGTGTTGACATACTCCTAACACGCCAAAAGCTGCTTTAAGAACTTTTATTGAGCTCAAAGACACTCCAGTCAATAAGAGGTGGAAGAAATCGCACTTTGGACATCTTTTTTTTTAAAAAAAAAAGAAAAGAAAAATAAATAAATAAGCCATTTATGGATAGACTACGTGCCCTGAATTTTTTTTTTTTTTTTAAAAAAATATTTTGTTTTTATAAACTCTTCGGTGAGATTTTGGGGGGGGGGGGGGGGAGAGAAGAGAAAGATGGACAAAATTTAAAAAAAAAGAGAAAGTAGTTGCAATCATTCAGATTGCAACTACTTTGGAAAAGAATGAATCTTGTTTCTGAATGGCGTGGTCCCAAATTACTAACAGGAATAGTACATGACGCATTAAAATGGCATTTTCTCTACATTCAGAAATTTAAAAGGCAATCAACCTAAATTGCTTTTAGCAGGCGAATCAATGCAGATGAATCAATTATCTGCCTGCTAGATTATTCAATTTAAGACTACATGCTGAACAGACACTAAAAGAGCTTTTATTTTTTTTCAGCCTTGGCAACTCTAAGTTGGGTGGACTTCAACTTCCAGAATGGCTGGGGAATTCTGGGAGTCGAAGTCCACCCACCTTAAGAGCTGCCAAGACTGAGAAACCCTGCAGTAGGAAAAAAAAATCCGTTCTGAATACTGCTGAATTATACAGGCGGTGGTCCATGGTGAAGGAGACGTGTGTATGGCCACAAGAATTTCTGTACTGAGGTCCAAGCGGTGCCGGTGCCCTCAGAAGAGGCTTCCACAGGTTGATGGAAGGAAAATCCCATGACAAAAGTTATCAGGATGGCAAAGAGCACAACTGCGACGACAGACGCACAGAGGGCTTTGCTAATCCCGGAGAAGGAAGTCCTAAGAGCGGAGGCCCAAGAAGACACTCTCGTACACCTGCAGAAGAGAGAGGGGGAAAAGTAGACATGGGGTCCTTTATCCAAGGTCTACCTTCAATGGCAATTCACACACTCCAATACATGGACACAAACCACACAAATCTAAATTTCCTCAGGGAGAAATAACATGCAGGGGTGAGATGCTGCCGGTTCGGCCCGGTTTGGGGGAACCGTTCGCTCCGATGATCAGCTGAGAGTGAACCGGTCCGCTCCAACGATCAGCTGGGTCCGCCCGCCTGCCCCTGCGGTATACTGACCTATATTTCCTTTGTTTGAAGCCCAGCTGATAGCCGCGGCAGAGCGGATTGCCGCGCCTCAGCTGTTTTACTAACTGGGGCTGCAGGAGAAGGTAAGTTTTAGAGCTTTTTTCAAATGTACTGCGGGCGCACACGAGCAATGTGAGCAGGTGGATGCGAAACGTGCGCTCAGCGAACCGGATGTTACATCGATTGAATCCCACCACTGAATAATATGTAACGGGGAACCAGCTGCTACATCTTTTCTATCCTACTCTACGGAGTGGAGATTTGGTCTCTGGACAGAAAGCCACTGGAAGAGTCTGGAAGCATTTGAAATGTGGATTTACAGGTGGCTGTTACGTATAAGTTGGGTTGACAAAATCAGAAAGGAGGAGGTGATAAGCTCCTCAGAAGAACCATAAAAAAGCAAAAGTTAGAATATTTTGGACGGGTGATGCGACACCTGGAAAAATATGCCATACTTCGCTTAACCCTCCAGGGAAAGATTGAAGGCAAATGAGGTCCAGGCAGAAGAACAACATGGCTTCAAAATCTTCAAAATTCAAAATCTAAGGGACTGGCTTGGACAAAACTCAGCACCACTTTTTCATGCAGCTATTGATAAAAATAGGATCGCCAACATCCGATGAGGGATATGCACAAGAAGAAGAAGAAGAACCAGTGAAGTGTGCTTCGTTTACATTTATAATACTTCAGTTTTTTTTTTTTTTAAAAAAGTGTTAATTGAACTTCTGGGAACATTTTTTTTGAAGTCCTATGCGTGGATGCTCCCAATCAGCTATCCAGAACCCAAGGCATGCTGAAAAATCACTGCTACTGCCTCAAATTTAATGAATTAGAAATTCCAAATTTCTTTCCCACGTTCCCACAAAGCGTTCGTTTTGTTTCTTCTAGACTTACAGTGAGCGTAGCCCCCATTTAGTTGCGTTGGTTTCCTTTTCGCTCAGTTTTCGTGCTTTACCTCCCTGGATCTCTGGAGCTGCCGGTTCCTGAAGAGCAGCTCTGTAAAAGGGGTGATTTAGATTCTGGATTAAAAAGGCCCTGCTCGTCCAGGATGGTTCTAGATCATCGCTTCTCAACCTTTGTGATGTTAAGATATAGGGATGTCAGCTCCCATCATTCCCCAGCCATCATGCTTTTAAGATGTGTGGACTTCAACTTCCAGAATTCTCCAGCCAGGATGCTAGCTGGGGAATTCTGGGAATTGAAGTCCACACATCTTAAAGTTTATTTTATTTATTTATTTATTTATTTTATTTCTATACCGCCCTTCTCCCGAAGGACTCAGGGCAGTGTACAGCCTGATTAAAAGCACAAAGACAAACAAAATTTAAAAAAGATTAAAATTATTAAATAATAGGCTCAATTATAAAACCCCAAATTTAAAATCCCATATTTAAAACCAATTTAAAACCAATTAAAATCTTTACATTGATAGCCCCAGCTAGCCCCAGCAAAAGTTACCTCAGTTGAGAAATATTGCTCTAGATCAGGGGTGTCAAAATCAAGGCCCAGGAGCTGGATGCGGCCCGCGAATTGCTTAGACCTGGCCTGCAGGGCCGCCTGGGAACAGTGAAGGACCGGCTCACTGTGCCCCCATTTTCACTGGCAGAGGGTTGCAGGAGGCCGTGGTAGCCGAAAACGGAGCTCGGGAGCCCGTTTTTGCTGGCAGAGCGCTCAGGCCACCACAGGTGCTCCCGACACAAGTGATGTCGAGCCGGCCACACACCCCAGCTATGCCCCCCCCCCGAGGTCAAACACAACCCTGATGCGGCCCTCAATGAGATGGAGTTTGATACCCCTGCTCTAGACTGACATGTTGACAGAGTCTTCAGCAGAGTCACAATTCACCTGCCTTATTCTTATAACCACACAGAACAAATCTTCCTTCTGTGCTCAAGAGACATTAGTGGCTTCTAGAGGAGAAGATCTTGTCTTTGGGGCACCAGGAGGAAAAATGGGACTCACTCTAATTCAAGCTGTTCTTCCTCCGACTCTGTCCAGGAAGTCGAGCTGATGAAGCGCTGTAGCGAGGGCCGTTTTTCTCCTTGTTTGGTTCCTCTTAGACTCCTAAGGACAGGAGAATCAAACAGGCTTTCTTTAAAAAGAAATTTTGGCTGCTTTTTTTTCCCGTTAAATATCCACCCCTCCAAGAAAAGTACAGGAAGGAAGGAAGGAAGAGAGAGGAAGGAAGGGAGAGAAAAAAGAGAAAGAGGGAGAAAGAGAAGGAAGGAAGGGAAGAGAAGAGAAGAGAGGGGAGGATAGGAGACAGAGGAGGGGAGGAAGGGAGAGGGGAGGGGAGAAGAAAGGGAAGGGAAAGAAGTTGAGAGGAGGGGAGGGGAGAGGAAGGGAGGGAGAGGAAGGGAAGGAGAAGAAAGGGAAGGGAAGCAAGTCGAGAGGAGGGGAGAGAGGAAGGGGAGAGAAGAAAAGGAGAGAAGGAGAGGAAGGGGAGGGGTGGAGAAGAGGATGAGGAGAGTGCAAGGGGAAGAAAGGAGGGGAGGGGAGGGGAGGGCATACATTTACTGATACATGTAAAGATATAATCGTTCTACATAAGCATTTAAATTCTTCAGCCTCAGATGGTCCCAACTATTCAATATTCTGCAGAAATGAATCAACAGTTTATAGGGACAAATCTTTACCTTGGAGACTGATGATGGATGATTACAAAGAAACAGAGCTTCCGTCAAACAGATTCTGTTCCTTTCTGTAGCACAACAGGCTGCCATCATTAAGTTCCCAGGCTGCTTTCAAACCAGACATATAGCCAGCAAAATAAATAAATAAATAAATTCTCCCCGCTATAATTCAAGTTACTGTTGCATTAGCAGCTAACCATCATTTGTAACTTCTTTATAAAAAAATGAGGTAACTATTATGTTTTTTTTTGCATGATTTCCCCCCCCCCCCCATGCAGATTTTGTGTGACCCTCACTCTGTCAAGGACCTTCGAGTACTCATCTCAAACCATCTAAGCGCCAGAGCCCACTGTAACAGCATTGCCAAAAAGGCATTAAGACTTGTTAACCTAATCTTGCGTAGCTTCTTCTCCGGTAACATTATATTGCAAACTAGGGCATACAAAACCTTTGCTAGACCAATTCTCAAATACAGTTCATCTGTCTGGAACCCACATTACATATCGGACATAAATACAATTGAGGGAGTCCAGAGGTATTTCACGAGAAGAGTCCTCCACTCCTCTGCTTGCAGCAGAATACCTTATGCCACCAGGTTTTAAATTTTTGGGCTTAGACAACTTAGAACTACGCCGCCTTCAGTCTGCCCTAAGCGTAGTACACAAAATTATCTGCTACAATGTCCTACCTGTCAATGACTACTTCAACTTCAACCGCAACAATACATGAGTACACAATAGATATAATCTTAAGGTAAACCATTCCAAACTCGAATGCAGAAAATACGACTTCAGCAACAGAGTGGTCAATGCCTGGAATGCTCTACCCGATTCTTTGGTTTCATCCTCAAACCCCCAAAAATTTAACCTTAGATTGTCCACTGTTGACCTCACCCCATTCCTAGGAGGTCTTTAAGAGGGGATGCATAAGCGCACCAGCGTGTCTACCCTCCCTGTCCAACTGTACCCCATTTATTCGTATCCATTTCCTGTATTCATAATCATGTTTATACCTGTATCTGTTATCTTATACATACTTGACAAATCAATAATAAATAAATAAATAAAAAACAATGCCCTACGTACCAACTCGAGCGCCTGTTGAATTTTTCAATCCGGTTGCTTCCATCCGTTTCGTTCATCTGAGCCTTTGTAGGAACAGGGAAAAGGAAGAGGTCAGCATCTAAGTGCAGCTAATATTTTTTAAAGTTAAGGAACGGTCAGTACTGGAAAACACCTACATACCAGTTGCAAAAAAGCGATTGCATTTCCATTACTGTTCCTAGGCAAGGGTGCAGTGCTAACTCTGCGTAGTGATGAGGGCTACACAAAACAAGAAATACTATTTGATCAGTTAGGAATGGCACATCCTGCAAGGCTCCTGAAGTTCTTCTCTAGGCAAAGGTGGGACTTGTGTGAACGAAGCAGAACATCTAAACCAGTGTTTTTCAACCTAGGGGTGACATTTTACCACGTCTAAGGGGTTGCCACAAAGACGAAAGGGTCATACTATGCTCCAAAGCACCCGAAGGCAGGACAAGAAGCAATGGATGGAAACGAATCAAGGAGAGGACCAAGCTAGAACTAAGGAGAAATTTCTTGATAAGTGAGAACAATTAATCAGTGGAACAACTTGCCTCCAGAAGTTGTGAATGCTCCAACACTGGAGGTTTTTAAGAAGAGATTGGACAACCAGTTGTCTGAAATGGTATAGGGTTTTCCTGCCTGAGCAGGGGGTTGGACTAGAAGACCTCCAAGGTCCCTTCCAACTCTGTGATTCTGTTGTGACTCTTGGCATCTTTAAAATGGATGGACTTCAACTCCCAGAATTCCCCAGCCAGCATGGCTGGCTGGAGAATTCTGGGAGTTGCAGTCCACCCATCCTAAAATGGTCAAGGTTGAAAAACACTGTTCTAAACAGATTTAAGTAGTAGCACGGAGTTCCATCGCTGATTTCGCAAACGGGTACCCATCACCGAACAGAATATACCAATGATGGCGAACCTTTTCGGCATCAAGTGCCGAAAAGGGAGTACTTCATGCGTGCATTTCGCGCGCTCGCGCTCATCAGGGCCACAACCAGGAAAAGGAGCTGCCCAGGGAGCAGAGGTGGGTTTCAGCAGGTTCTGACCAGTTCTGGAGAACTGGTAGCGGAAATTTTGAGTAGTTCGGAGAATCGGTAGTAAAAATTCTGACTGGCCCCACCCGCATCTATTCTCTGCCTCCCAAGTCCCAGCTGATTGGGAGGAAATGGGGATTTTGCAGTATCCTTCCCCCGGGGTGGGGTGGGAGTGGAGATTTTATAGTATCTTTCCCCTGCCATGCCCACTAAACCATGCCACGCCCACCAAGCCACACCCACAGAACTGGTAGTAAAAAATTTTGAAACCCACCTCTGCCAAGGAGCATGTGCATGCCAGATAAGATACTTCCGTTTTCCGGCGCACGCATGCACGCCAGCCAGCAAGTCTTCCGGTTACTGCCACGTATGCGCACGTGCCGATCAGCTAGCCAGCACGCGTTTTACGCCGGAAAACGGAAGACCAGCTCTTCTGGTTTCTGGCACCACCACACAGACAAAGGCCAGCTGATCGGCGTTGTGCATGCACACAAGAAACCCGGAAGAGGAACGGGAGACGCCGTGTGTGCCAGGTGACATGGCTCCATGTGGCACTTCAGGCACACATGTCATAGTTTCGCCATCACGGGAATATACCGTAAAAACTCTACAGAGCTCAAATCCTGGGCCCAACTCCCCTTTCTACATCCAGCCTCTCTTATTATCATCGATAATACATATAAAAAGAGATAGAAGAACACACAGTGGCTCTTTTCTGCACAGGAACGTCACTCATCTGGGCCATATAAAGCGGGTTCCCCAACCTCTTGGGCACCAGGGACAGGTTCCGTGGAAAGCAAATTTTCCTTGGACAAACCTGCAGGAGTGAAATCCAGCAGGTTCTGACAGGTTCTAGCGAACCGGTAGCGGAAATTTTGAGTAGTTCGGAGAACCGGCAAATACCACCTATGGCTGGTGCCAGAGTGGGGTGGGAAGGGAGATTTTGCAATATCCTTCCCCCAGGAACGGGGAGGGAATGGGGATTTTGCAGTATCCTTCCCCGCCACGCCCACCAAGCCACACCACGCCCACCAAGCCACGCCCACAGAACCGGTAGTAAAAAAAAAATTGGATTTCACCACTGGATCAGGGTTGTGATGGTTGTGGCTTTGTGGGCTATCTAGAATCCTGTGTATGCGCTGATGAATTTCGCTTGTGCAGTCCGGATCCTAACAGGCCATGGATTGGTACTGGTTCGCAGCCCAGAGGTTGGGGTTTCCCCTGTTGTAAATTATGAGGGATCTAAGCAAACATTCGAAGCAATGTACTACCATACTTAATGGGAGCACTAAAAGCAAAGAAGGCCAGCAGATTTTAGCTAGGTAAAGGATTACATTTTCCACCCAAGTTCCTCAGTAACTCATTGAATGAAATGCGATCTGCATTTTTCCATCGACAAAAGTGCCAGAAGTAACCGATGATCAAATGCGGATAAAACAATGTTACAAATATTTAACCGTCTCCAAAGAAATATATGGTTCAGACTACCATATATTCATTATTTAATTTTTTTTTTAATCCACTGGTTCATAGGACACATGAGGTTATCCTAATTGCTGCAGAAACTCAATTATGAGCGGTATTTGTAATTTGACTCGCAGGGTCAATATTGGTATTTCAAGCTGTAATTTTGTTCATACTTAAGAACGATTTTGGACAGAGTTTTAGGCTAGGAATTGGTTGGCAAATGAATAAATAGCACAGGTAAAAGGCCAAAGCAATGCACAGACACTTTTCTTGATTTTTAAAGAAATCCTTACGAGCAACTCGAATTTCCTGCTTAATTAATATACAGTTTTTTTCGAAGTCCTATAGGTCAGGTTATTTAGCCCATCTTCCCTCCTTTCCCAAAATCACCAAATTTAGTTCTGATCTTAGTGAAGCCAGTAAAAGTGGATAATTCTCGATCCACCCGCCAATCAGCTGCTCGTGCTGAATCAGGCTGCAATAATCTGCTGAAGTTGACCTGGCTGTTTGCTATTTGCTGCAAGGACGTGTCAGAGTTTGCAGCAGCAATCACATCCAGAAAGCACACACAAGTAACTGATTCAGCAGGATTCAATAACTTCTCTTTATATATAACATAACACATGAAGTAAATACACAATACCAAAAGCAGGTTTTCCAACGTGGTAGTAAATACAAGCAAAACACAAGCAGAGGAGAGGAGTTTCAGTTTCAGTTTTGAGTAGCAGACTAGTTTAGCGTTCAGCACAGACTCAGAGCTGCAGAGCTAAGCCACGCCCAGGCTCCTTGCTGTCTCCTTCCTTGTTGCTCACACAGCAAGTACTGTTTCAGTTTCCAAACAGCCCTCAACTCTCTCACACACTGACAGAACGCTAGCCAGATGAATACCGATGGATGCTGGTAGGCAGAGGCAGAATTTTTTTTTCTTATTTTCCTCCCCAAAAACTAAGGTGCGTCTTATACTCCGGAGCGTCTTATACTCCGAAAAATATGGTATATGGTGCCTGGTTGTGTGTGGCTTTTTAGTTGTTGATTGGGGCATTGATGGCCAATCAACAACAACCAGGGGGTTGGACTAGAAGACCTCCAAGGTCCCTTCCAACTCTGTTATTCTATTCTATTCTACCAAATAAATGCCACATACAAAATAGTCCAAAACACACACAATCTGATTGAGAGAAGTTCCCTGAGGATGGGCTTCAGCAAAATCTGAAAGTTCAGAAGACTGAATCTCCGGTCCCAGTGATTGACCCAGATTGGATCCTGCAACATTATCCCGGGACGTGTATATTTGCCTTCATTCATGATTCTCAATTGCATCTAAAGGTACACTAGAAATATGAATTCAAATCTGGAACACAAATACATGTTCCAATTATTATCCCATCCTTCCAGATGAGTGTGTGTGCAAAGAAACTATTTTAAAGTAGCTTAAGTAACTCATGCTAAACATGGAAATACAACTTTTTCACATTTCAAGATTAATATTTAAGATACTTTTTCGAAATCCAGATGGCCGTTTTATTTAATTTACCAGCAATGTGGAATTTGATAACGGATAGGCATATTACATGCGTTTGATACATACCCATCTGAATTTGTAAATATTTTTTTTTTGAAACCGGAATGAAATGTCGTAAAGACATTTTAATCTGCATGAACTGTTTTATATTCGTCAGTTTACTTCAGTCAGTTATGCAGAAAACGAAGTATCAAACTCTCCAAAATGGAAATTTGGTTCTGTGATTTCCTGAAAACCATGGACACTTCTTGAGTTTTGACCACATATAAATCACAGTTGCGATTCCTACTATCACCCATCTCAAGAACTAAAATCTAGAAAGACCACAAATACGGAATTCTGTTCAGCCTTAAGAGCAATTTGGAAACAACAACAACAAAGAAAAACAAACAAACAAACAAGGAAACTGAATTGAAAAGACCTGGCCACAAAATAGTACAAGGTCAAGGTGTTATTGCAAGAAAACGGTACCAATTTTCAGGGACATCATTGGAAATTTAAGGATTTGCTTTATGCATTTTGCACGGCTGCAAAAAGAGAGGGGAAACACGCTCCACCGCCCCCCAGAAACTGCAAGAATTGCTCAGAAGCATCACAACGGATTGCGAAGACCGGGCACAGCGCAGAAGAGTGTGCAGAAAGCAACAAAATGCTTGCAACATGTGTACCTTGAGAGAACCAGAGAGTTTTTTAATTGAAGAGTCATCTGAAAGTGCAAGAGAAGTGGAAGAATATACATTAATCAGGAAAGCAAGGAACTAGTTTCAATAAAACTAGAAGAGGGACTTGTTGGACAGGGATCTCTGTAGCTTAGTCTGAATTTGGGGGAAATGAATTGGTTTGGAGAAGATGCCCAGAGTGGGATCACCTCTTCCATTGCTGAGCTCATGCCCATTTATTTGCCTTTCCTTGGGTGCCCCTATGTGGCATGGCGAGCGAAGACCAAGAGTTTTGAAGATCAGCCACAAACCTTCCCCGCTATGATATCTGCCCCCAAGGCAGCATCCTCCAACACCAGTTGTCCCAAAGGTGTTTTTTTTCAAAAGGTAACTGGACTTTGTTTTTCCTTGAAGACGTTTCCCTTCTCACCCAAGAAGCTTCTTCTGTTCTGACTGAATGGTGGAGGGTGGAAGGATTTATATTCCTTGCAGTCATCTTGGTGGTTAGCACAGATAAACCTCCAAGTTGGCTGTTCTGCCCCAGCTACGGACCCCAAAGAACGCAGCACACACAAAGTCTGTACAAACCTTAGTTTACTAAATTAAATCAGTCTTTTTCAAACAAAGGCTGTTAATTAACTTTCTTAACAGCCTACAAGAATCCAAAGAATAAATATCGTAATCTTACTAGGGTTGGCAGAAAGCCCAGAAGCAATTTGTAGGAAAGTGATAAGAGAACTAAGATCCAGACGCGAAGGAGAGTGAATGAAGTTGTTCCCTGCAAATTGCCTCAGTCGTCCTTCCTTAAATAGGCTAAGGGAGTGGCCAATTAGCCCCAAGCCTTACTCTCGAGGAGACCTCCTCCTGAGGAGCCACTCCTGCCTTTTGGCAGCTCTGTGCTCCTGTGCATCGAGAAGAGGTTCCTCCTCTTCTTCCTCTTCACTTATAGGAGCTTCTGGAGGTTCTGAAGGCCCTGGCTGAATCCCCGCCTCTGGCACCACATCTTCTCCAGCCTCCTCATTGTCTGACTTGAGTGCCAGCTGCACAGGATGCTGACGCAGCACCACACAAGCCTCCTCGCTGTCGGAATCAGCTACTAGCTACACAGGCCGCTGACGGGCCACAATAGTGGCCTCCATGACCCTCAGAAGGAGTGCTAACCACCAGATGACTGCAAGGAATATAAATCCTTCCATCCTCCACCACCATTCAGTCAGAACGGAAGAAGCTTCTTGGGTGAGAAGGGAAACGTCTTCAAGGGAAAACACAAGTCCAGTTGCCTTTTGCATTTTATGTTCGCTTATGCACCAAAGACAAATTCCTTGTGTGTCCAATCACACTTGGCCAATAAAGAATTCTAATTCTAATTCACTCTCTACATGGGGCTCCCCTTGAGGAGCACCCGGAGGCTCCAACTGGTCCAGAATGCGGCCGCGCGGGTAATTACAGGAGCCGCTTGGCGCTCCCACATAACACCACTCCTGCGTGAGCTGCACTGGCTCCCAGTGGTCTTCCGGGTGCACTTCAAGGTGTTGGTTACCACCTTTAAATTGCTCCATGGCATAGGACCTAGTTATCTTCATGACCGCCTGCTGCTACCGACGACCTCCCATCGACCCGTGCGCTCCCACAGAGAGGGCCTCCTCGGGGTGCCATCAGCCAAACAATGTAGGCTGGTGACCCCCCAGGGGGAGGGCCTTCTCTGTGGGGGCTCCCATCCTCTGGAACCAGCTGCCCCCTGAGATAAGGAGAATCCAAGACCTCGGTGCCTTCCGCCGTGCCCTTAAAACTTTCTTTTTTCAACAAGCCGGGCTGGCTTAACATATTTTTTTTTAAATATTTTTTAATTTTTAATTGGTTTGTTATCTTAAATTGGGGCCAAATTAATATATATCCTTTTAATTGTTTTTAATGTTTGTATTGTATGTTTTTATCTGGCTGTACACTGCCCTGAGTCCCTCGGGAGAAGGTGCGGTATATAAATTTGAGATAAAATAAAATAAATAAAATAAAATAAAATAAAATAATAAAATAATAAAATAAAATAAAATAAAATAAAATAATAAAAATAAATAGTTCTTCTGAAAAAAGGCACCTCTGGGACAACCGTGGCTTGTATAATTGAGAATCTCCATAGTCATCCAACTCCAGTTCTACCAAGAAGGTGTCCATGAGCAGAGAAACCTGCCATGAAAGCAGGAAGTAGGTCCAGGATCTTTGCAAAGGGAAGGTCAAGAAGATGGCTACAAACGGTGACTGAAACCTAACCCCCTTTTAATAGGCAATTTACATTAAAAGAGGTGGGGTTTTGATTCAATGGTTGTGGCTATCTTGACCCTCCTCTGCAGACAGCTCTGGAATTACAAATCAGAAAAATATAACCCGCATTAGCAATAGCACTTAGACTTATATACCGCTTCGTAGTGCTTTTACAGTCCTCTCTAATCAGTTTACAGAGTCAGCATATTGCCCCCCAACAATCTGAGTCCATTAGGAAGCACTATAACCCCCCTTCCCTTAATCCTTGTCAAAATCAACTTAGTTGGGTTGGTGGATGGAGGCTGTGTTTCATAGAAAAAGTCCGGCGTGATCATGTAATAATGGGAATAGCTGAAGGAGGTGCCACTGAGCCGCGGTGGTTAGAGTGCAGTACTGCAGGCTACTTCTGCTGACTGCCGGCTGCCTTGCAATTTGACAGTTCGAATCTCACCAGGATCAAGGTGAGATTCCATCCTTTCGAGGTGGTTAAAAATGACGACCCCCGATTGTTGGGGGCAATCGGCTGATTCTGTAAACTGCTTAGAGAGGGCTGTAAAGAACTGGGAAGCGGTATATATGTCTATTGCTATTGCCTGATTTGAGCCTAGGGCATACACAACACATGGCATTATTGAACTTCAACACAGTTATCCCTACTCAGCATCTGATTATTTAGATCAGGAGCCTCCAAACTTGGCAACTTTAAGACTTGTGGACTTCAACTCCCAGAGTTCCCCAGCCAGCTGTGCTGGCTGGGGAACTCTGGGAGTTGAAGTCCACAAGTCTTAAAGTTGCCAAGTTTGGAAGCCCCTGATTTAGCCCACCAATCTTGCCCTGGAGAAAAAAGGCAGGGGAGATGATGTCGCCATCATTTCGGTCCACATCACCTTGGCCGTTACCTCGGTCCCCCATAGAGCTGAAGGACTTCTCATTCTGGAGTAATAGCTCCTTCAGCTCTTCCAGTTCTGCGTGCTCTCTTGCATATGTACGCTTTAAGTTTTCCACGTGCTGAATCATCACTTCTACTGCCTTACTGACCCGGCTTTCCTAGGGAAGAAAAGGTAGGGAAGGACACAGGAGGCAACTGGTGTTGTCTTCGTCGACTGTTTCATTGGGGGTGGGGTGGTGGTGAAAGTGGGCTTATATAAGCACGGCACCACATCGAGCCCCCCCGTCTTCTTTTGAGCGAAAGAATTCAAAGACTGGGTAACCAAAGCCATCCCGAAGTACTCTGGTTATTGTTCGAACTCTGCCAGGACTCCAGAAAAGGTTGTATAAGTCAGATGGGCTAACTTTGGGATGGCCATAGAGCAGGTGAGCAAATATGGCCCCTTTATGACCTGTGGACTTCAACTCCCAGAATTCCTGAGCCAACTCCCAGAATTCTGGGAGTTGAAGTCCACAGGTTGTAAAAGGGCCACAGTTGCCCACCCCTGCCATAGAGGAATTGGCTCATTAAGGGATAGCCATAGAAAAATACAGGTAGTTCTCAAGTTACGACCACAATTGAACCCAAAATTTATGTTGCTAAGCGAGACATCTGTTACCGTACTTTTCGGAGTATAAGACACACATTTTTTCCCTCCTAAAAGAGGGTGGAAATGTTGGTGGGTCTTATACACCGAATACAGCCATTTTTGGCCTCCTGAAACCCCACCTCGGCATCCCGTTTTCGCCAAAAAGAGGCCTGCAGAGGGTTTGGGAGGCCTGCAGAGTGCTCCTGGGGGCTGGGGAGGGCAAAAACGAGGGCAAAAGGAGCTTGAGTGGCGTAGGAGGCTAATGCCTCCTAAGGCAGCATTTAACATCCAGCTGCCTGCAATTACTGCGAGTTCAATTCTCCCCAGGCTCAAGGTTGACTCAGCCTTCCATCCTTTCTAAGGTGGGTAAATTGAGGACCCAGTTTGTGGGGGCAATAAGCTGACTTTGTATAAATATACAAAAGTATGAAGGCTATTGCTTAACGCACTGTAAGCAGCCCTGAGTCTCCGGAGAAGGGCGGCATATAAATAAATAAATAAATAAATAAAAATTAAAAAAAACACTCCCATTTTTTGAAAAAACGGGCCCGTTTTTGGCCTCCGGAAACCCCCCATGCGTTGCCCGTTTTGTGAAAAAATGGGGCCTGCAGAGTGCTCTGAGAGGCACATCGAAATCTTAGTGCGTCTTATACTCCGGTGCATCTTATAATCCGAAAAATACGGTAAGGGAGTTTGTCCCATTTGACGACTGTTCTTGCCACGTTTCTTAAGTGGACCACTGCAGTGGTTAACCCTGTTGCGTTAAGTGAATCTGGCTTCCCCATTGACTTTGCCCGTCAGAAGGTCACAAAAGGTGGATCACAGGACCCCGGGGACACTGCAACCGTCGTAAATGTGAGTCAGTGAATCAAGCATCCGAGTGTAAACCATGTGACCGTGGGGGATGGATGCTGCAAGGGTCGTAAGTGTGAAAAAGGGTCGTAAGTCACTTTTTTCCAGTGGCATTGTAACTTCGAACGGTCCCTAAATGAACTGTTGTAAGTCGAGGACTACCTGTAGAAAGAAGCAACTTCCAAGGATCCAGGAGTGGAAACAAAGTAATAGACTCTACAACACGCCTGGCAGGTAGTTGTGATTTATGATGGTCTGCTGCAGGGGTGCCCAACCCCCAGGCTTTGGCCCACTACCGGGCCATGACTTATTCGGAATTGGGCTGCGTGAGTGGCTGGCTGGAGTGCACGTGTGCAGGTTAACTAATGTGAGCAGAGGGCCTGTGGCAGGGGTGAAATCCAGCAGGTTCTGGAGAACCGGTAGCGGAAAGTTTGAGTAGTCTGGAGAACCGGCAAATGTCACCTCTGGCTGGCCCCAGAGTGGGGTGGGAATGGAGATTTTGCAATATCCTTCCCCCAGGAGCGGGGAGGGAATGGGGATCTTGCAGTATCCTTCCCGTGGAGTGGGGTGGAAATGGAGATTTTGCAGTATCCTTTCCCTGCCATGCCTATCAAACCACGCCCACAGAACTGGTAGTAGAAAAAATTGAATTTCAACACTGGCCTGTGGGCACTTGCACACATGTGTGCTGGCCTGTTGCCTGTGTGACCTAGTTCCCTTCTCCATACACACACACACCCAGCCAGGCCACCAAGCCACAAAGTTTGGGGACCACTGGTCTACTGGATTCTGTAACCACACTGATGATGGGGAGGGTGTGTCGATATTATCAGGTTGGACAAGGATGCCACATAGCGTTTAAGGAAGAGAATGGTGGCAAGATCTGTAGAAGCAGGAGTTTAGTGCCAACCACTTGTTAAAGAATTCTTGTTCCTTATGGATGAGTAAGAACGAAGGATGCCCTGTTTCGCTCAGTCAAGGAACAGGGTGTATGACTCAATGGAAGACCAGCAAATTCCACATATTGTATGTACCAACTTTTCTACAAATCAAGAGCGAAGGCTGGACCAACACTCAAGGAGCTTCTCTACTTGGGACACGTTGTCTTGAATATTGTCTTGGAGGAACCAATATGACAAATAAACAGCTCGTTCTTTCCAAAACTACAGAAAAAAAATAAGGTTTTGAGAGGCCAGAATGATTCTTCAGGCAAAATGTTACATAGAACATTTAGGCTGCAGAGTGTTTGGGTAAGATGAAAAGCTGCTTCACAACTTACAACGTGAACTAAAATATTGTTAAGACATGATGCTCCTATTGATCTCCAGAACTTCCCAATCACATTAGACTTTAGTCCAATATCTAAAATTCTTGAACAATAGCTCTATTATACTTCTGTAACATCAGACTGTCCTAGTAAATCAGAACTGATTAAAACTATTATCAACACAATAGAGAGGACCATCAAGGGAATACGGTATATGCCTTTATAGGTTGTGTGGCAACACCAGCCACAAAGGTTGCATCACAAATGCCTTTGCAGATTTATTCAAGCTTGTAGAGATTCAACTTGCTCGTTTGAATCAATAATTTTTTTCCCCACTAGAAACTCAAGAATATTAAATCCTTATGTTTGTATCACCTTTTCCTTATCTTGTTGGTTCGTATTTCTTTCTGACTAACTTCTCTGCTGCCTTGCTCCACGAGCTTTCCAAATCCCATCATCATTTACAAACAGATTTTGCTAAGAAAGGATTTTTCCAGAACAGTATTTCTCAAGTTTGGCAACTTTAAGATGGGTGGACTTCAACTCCTAGGATTCCACAGTGATCCATGCTGACTGGGGGATTCTGGGAGCTGAAGTCCACCCATCTTAAAATTGCCAAGCTTGAGACTCACTGTTCCAGAATCTACTTTCAAAGAACTTTTCATTTGATCCCAGCGGATTTGACTTCCAAGGAGGTGGCAACCTCCTGCCAACTCAACCAACGGTAATAACTTAGGACCTGGTTATTTACGGGACCGCCTACTACCACAAATAGCCTCCCACCGGCCGGTACGCTCTCATAGAGAGGGGCTCCTCCGAGTGCCGTCAGCCAAGCAGTATTGACTGGCGGCCCCCAGGGGGAGGGCCTTCTCTGTGGGGGCACCCACTATCTGGAACGAGCTCCCCCCGGAGATACGGAGGATCCCGGATCTACACACCTTCCGCCGTGCTCTTAAGACCCTCTTATTCCAGCAAGCCGGCCTGGCCTAATTTTTCTCCCCTTTCTTTTAAATTTTAAATTGAAATTTTAATTTGTTTTAAATTTATTGGGATTTTAATTGTCATGGGCTAAATTATTTAATTTGGTTTTAAATTGTTTTTAACTTTTGTATTTCTGTATTTTATCCTGTGCCTGTTCACCGCCCTGAGTCCTTCGGGAGTAGGGCGGTATATAAATTTAATAAAACTAAACTAAACTAAACTAAACTAATATTCAATTCTGCATATATATTTTTTCTTCATGATTATCTGAAAGAACGCCGCATCCATAAAATCCAGCCTGGTGGCAACATATAACCAACTCTGCCAGATGTTGACTATCTAAGTGAGGCCTGATTTATCATTGTGAAGGAGACAAGGAAATATCAGGAATGTAGATTGGTTTGGGTGTTAAGCCCTATTGCCTTCCCCACACATGCAAATTGGAAAAAGACAGCGGTGGATCCATGAAGTCACCAGGACTCAAACTCGGCTTGGAGAAGACCTTTCGATTCTTTACAATTTTGGATCGAGCAACCTACCTGATGAACAGCTCCCAGCATTTCTGCTTTGCTAGCGATTCTGGTGGCATGCTGATCCAGTAGGTCCAGACTCTTTTGCAGCTTCTTAACTATCTCCTGCACCTGGTTATCTTCGCTTAGAGAGGCTAAAGACTGAGCAAAGAATATCCAGGATGTCCATGTAAAACAGAAGACAAGTGTTGTACTCTATACCAATGAAGAAACAACGAACGGGACAATCGTCTGCCAAACATTTAGCTCCAAAAATGACTTTTGAGCCCTCTGTTTTCAACAGTATAATTGCCATTCGTATCAATAAGTCCACCCACATCCAGTACAGAGAAACCTCTTTGACTGTGGCTAGAGATTTGCATAACCGTGTCTGCAAAGCAATGTAAGTTGCTATTATTTAATAAATGTCTACCCTACCTCTTTCTCAAGAACTCAAGGGAGAGATCTCTTTCATTTTATCCCCATTCTGTAAGTCAGGTTGGGCTGAGAGAACAGACTGACCTAGAGCTTATGGGGCTGAAGATGGACTACAGCTGAATCTTCTTAACAGGGTGGATGAAAATCAGATTTTTAAAAATTTAAATCGGATTTTTTAAATTTAAATTGTTTTTTTTTTATTTTTATCAAATTTATTTGAATTATAATGCTTTTGGAGTAAAAATCTATCTTAGGGCTTATTTTCCGGTTAGGTCTTATTTTCGGGGAAATAACAGTAGATACAGGACATTTGCTGCTGTCTTTTACTCTGCCACTTGAAGAATGGCCAAAGCTGAGAAGCACTGATCTAGAAGTTAGGTCTGCCTTCACCCCCTGAAGCAACGGAATCCATCTCCCTCCTTCTTACATCAAGTAGTTTTAAGGCGCCAGCAATTTCTTTATTCAGGCTCCCTTCCGCGAGATCCCGAGATCGTTCTTCAAGCCTGACTCTCTTCTCTAAAGTAAAGAGGTCACATTTGAATCCAAGAGACAGCCGTAGAAATTCTGCCTGGAAAACAGAAGAGGAGCAAACATCCTTACTAGGCAGATTTACCAGCTGGTTAATCGCTCTCCGTGCAATCAATCAATCAATCAATCAATCAATCAATCAATCATCTGTTATTGCTTCTAGCAGGAAGGAATCTCAAGTTGAATTCTGGACGAACTTGAGCTTAGAAATAAGGAGAAACTTTCTGGCAGTGAGAACAATCAACCAACCTTCAGAAGTTATGAGTGCTCCACCACTGGAGACTTTCAAGAAGAGACTGGACAACCGCTTATCTGAAATGGTATAGGGCAGTGGTGGCGAAGCTTTTACTCACCGAGTACTAAACACGTATGCGCTTTGTGTGCGGTGTGCTATCCGCACTAATGCACGGTTCCTCCCCCGTGCACTGCACATGCAACCACACTATCTGCACATGTGCACGGCTTTTGCACACACCCCTCTGTGCACCGTGCACACAATCACAACATCTGTGCATGTGTGTGGTTTTCACACGTGCAATGCCCATGTGTGAATGCCATCTACGCATGCGTGTGCTGTGCGCAAAGACTCATGCACAAATGCACACGCATGCACAGGACAGTTCCGAAGACCAGCTGGGTCCCCTGAATTGCGCGCATGCGCACCAGAGGCTGAAACACCAGCTGGGGCACATGTGCATATGCAGCTGCAGGTGGGTTGGGTGACATCTCGTATGCTCTGAAAGATGGCTCTGCATGCCATCTTGGGCACGCGTGCCATAGGTTCGTCAACATAGGTATAGGGCATGCGAGCCATTGCAGTTGCTCAGCTCCAGCGCGCAAACGTGTGCCGGCCACCCGATTTTCCGGCCTTCCAGGCCCACCGGATGTTGGGAAACGGGCTGTTTCTGCCCTCTGCGGGGGTGGGGAAGGCCATTTTCGCCCTCCCCAGGCTCCTAGAAAGGCTCTGGAGCCTGGGGAGACTGAAAAACGGGCCTTCTGGTCCCACTGGAAGTTGGGAAGTGGGCCATTTCTGGCCTCAGGAGGGTCTCCGGGGTGTGTGTGTCTGAGTAAGGCCGTTTTTGCCCTCCCCGGGCTCCTAGAAAGGCTCTGGAGCCTGGGGAGGGCGAAAAAACAGGCCCTCCGGTCCCACCGTGCCATTGTGTGCCAATAGCAAGGGGAGCGCGGGGGGGGTTGCACACACATGCACGGGGGCCGTGGGGCATTGAATTATGGGTGTGGGCACACGTGTGCGCAACCCCCCTGCACTCCCCCTGCTTTTGGCACGTGATGGCAAAATGGTTAGCCATCACTGGTATAGGGTCTCCTGCCTCAGCACGGGGTTGGATTAGATGATCTATAAGATCCCTTCCAACTCTGTTATTCTGTATCTGGGTGGCAAGGCAGGAGGTGCCAAATCTTGCAAGTCAAACCAGTTCAATTCTGAAAGAATCCCCATATGATGTAAAACCACCATTCGGAGTGTGAAGCCAGCTGTTTCAAGCACACTCCAAACTTTTTGACTTTTGAATGCTGTTCTGCTCTTGAAACAGAGGCATTTGGGATACAACGCACATCCAACAGCTGGGGAGGCTCTTTTCACACTTACAGTGGCTGTGTTGCACTCTGAAAAGCGGCTTCCTGCTCAGAATCAGAGCTTTGAATTCAAAGAGTTCTAACTCTAATCATTCTGCACATGGTTAATTTAATAAGCAATAGAGGGCACTAGTGCCCAAAATAACTATTTGTTTCCCTTATTTACATTCAGTTAAACACTAATCCTGCCAGTTAATTCAACACTGAGGGTTTCTTAACCTATCTCTGTTAGATCGATCATGAATTTCAATGGCCCAAACCAGGGGTCGGCAATCTTAAACACTCAAAGAGTCATTTGGACCCATTTCCCACAGAAAACAAAACACCGGGAGCCACAAAACCCTTCCCATGCCTGATTATTTCCTGAGCAGCCACAAAACTAACATATGTAGTTGAATTAAACATTCTGTTTTCTTCTAAAACTTTTCTTTTCTTGGATTTATCCATGGTTGGCTTACCGGGGTCGAAAAGCTCAATAAATTGCGTGCCGGCGGGTGTCGCACATTGGCGGTTGTGACGCATATTTTGAGTGACAGGGAACCGCAGCAGAGGGATGAAAGAGCCACATGCGGCTCCAGAGCTGCGAGTTGCCGACCCCTGGCTCAAACCTACCTCAAGTGGAGAAAGTATCACACTGACATAGGATTTAGGTAGATGGAGCAAGGAAGCTCAACTTAACATCCTGTCTCCAGTTAACCAGGTCCTACCCTGCCACCTTGTCTTAGGAAATACTGGCAGATGCTCAAACTAAAAGCATGGACTCTACACACCCAAAATCCTGCTGCCCCTTGCCCCATTTCCTGGAAACACAGCTAAAAAATATGAAGACATACCAAGAGGAGGTAGAAAAAGCAACAAGTACGTGTATGCTCACCTCCACTTCTTTCTCGTTGGGAGAGCCACTGAAACAAGAAGAACAAAAGAGAGAATATTAGTAGAGACACACACCTGAAATACCCTTTTCTAAGGTCTTCGCAGATAAACTGCAATTCTCCTAATTTAATAACCATTCTGGCCAAAAGATCTGGAGTCCCAGCACCACCAACATCTCAAGGGGGTTGGGGACCTCACAAGATGGAACAAGGTCTACTCTTAAGGGAACATCTGCAGACCAATCATTATGCTGTCAGGCAGAGGACAAACTTCTGACCTTTCAGTTGAAGTGACCCAGAATGGCACATCGACTAAAGCACAGAATATGGAATTTTAGAGGAGAATTTAAAAAAAGGAGTCCTTGTGGATTTTAGTCCCTTAACTGCTGTCTCTAGGGGGCGGTGATGATCTCCATTTCAAGGCCACTGAGCCACCGCTGTCCAAAGACATTTCCACGGACACGTGGCCAGCATGACATCATGGAGCGCTGTTACCTTCCCACCATAGTGGTACCTATTTATCTACTCGCATTTGCATGCTTTTGAACTGCTAGGTTGGAAGGAGCTGGGGCGAGGACGGGAGCTCACCTCCTCACGTGGCGCTCAGGTCTCAAACCCTCAGTCATGAGTCCTTGAGTGCCCACGAAAAATCTAAGTCAAGTCCACCTTAATTCCCATGATTTTCCCTTGACTGTTAGTAGCTCAGATTCTTGTAGAGAGCTTAAGCTTTCAATAAATATTTATAGTCATTTGAACTGCCTGAATCTCCCTGGTTTCCCCGGCACCTGATGGTTACTAATTTAACAATTGCAGTGGTTAACAATTATGGCAAGAAAGGTAATAAAACAGAGCCTTGGTAGTACAGTGGTCTAAAGCACCCTGTTATTAAGACCAGCTGCCTGCAATTACTGCAGGTTCGAATCTCGCCAGGCTCAAGGTTGACTCAGCCTTCCATCCTTTCTAAGGTAGGTAAAATGAGGACCCAGTTTGTGGGGGCAATAAGATGACTTTGTATAAATATACAAAAGGATGAAGGCTATTGCTTAACGCATTGTAAGCCGCCCTGAGTCTCCGGAGAAGGGCGGCATATAAATCAAATTAAAAAAAACAAAACCCTCAGTTAACAACTATTTCACTTGGCAACAGAAATGTTGGGCTCAATTGTGGTGGTAAATTGAGGACTACCTACCGTGTTTCCCTGAAAATAAGACCCTGTCTTATATTTTTTTGAACCCTGAAATAAGCACTTGGCCTTATTGCCATGTGCTCAAAAGCCTGATTGGGCTTATTATCAGGGGATGTCTTATTTTGGGGGAAACAGGGTATATTTCCCGCAAATATTCCAGACAAAAGAGAGGCTTGGGATACCAGGCGGGTGAGAAGAAGGGGCAAGCTTGATATTCTTTGCATTCATAGAACCTGAACAGTGGCACTCATAGGACATGTCAAGGTGGCATCTAGAACAGCGCAACAATGCTCCAAGACGCAGAAAAAAAACAGGCTAAAAATTAGTCGCAATCTTGACTTTTTTTCTGTAACTTGAGTGTATTTCTGAAACCAGATACTTACATATCCTGGTTCTTTTGGCACACGACGCTGCTTGACAGATCCTGACATGAAGATGAATCACCTGCCAAAAAAAGAGGAGTCATAAGCAGGGGTGAAATGCTCCCAGTTCGGACTGGATCGCCCAATCCGGTAGCGATGGAGGCGGGTGGTTTGGGGAACCGGTAGCAAAAATCCCTGCCCCCCCCCATTGCCCAGCTGAGCCGCACAATCATCAAAGGCTTTTTTTTAATTTTTAAAAGCATTTTTTCTACAACCTCTTTGGCTGAAAAAATGCTTTTAAAAGTAAAAAAAAAAAAAAGCCTCTGATGATCGTGTGGCTCAGCTGGGATCATCAGAGGCTTTTAAAAGCATTTTTTCTACAACCTCTTGGGCCGAAGAGGTTATAGAAAAAATGTTTTTAAAAGGAAAAAAAGCCTCTGCCGATCAGGCAAGTCAGCTGGGATCGTCAGAGGCTTAAAAAAATAAAGAAAGAAAGCCTCTGCCAATCAGGCAAGTCAGCCGGGATCATCAGAGGCTTTAAAAGCACTTTTTTTACAACCTATTCAGCCGAAGAGGTTGTAGAAAAAATGGTTTTAAAAGTAAAAAAAAAAAAAAAAAGTTGGCCACACCCACTCAGTCATATTACCCCACCACCACCCCCAAGCCACGCCCACAGAACCGGTAGTTAACAAATTTTACATTTCATCACTGGTCATAAGCATTGAACAGGTCGTCTTCTGCGGATGCTCTTCTAGGGCTCATTTGCATGAGTGGAAAACTTGCAAAGAACTGCCAGAAAGCTCTGATCAGAGCTATGCATCCGGACCAGACTGTTTTGTTCATGACTATTATTACTTTTATTACAGAACTCCTTGGGGCCTTGAAAGACTACAACTTTCGGGGAGGGGGGGGATTATTTAAGAGGACGTCCTGAACAGTGGTGGCATTCAGCCGGTTCTATCCGGTTCAGGCGAACAGGTAGCGGTGGCTGCTGGTGGCTCCGCCCACCCACCCGGACGTCATCACGTCCTATTTATCCATGTTTTTGATGCTCTGCGCATGCGTGGAAGGCCTTGCGCACGCACACTCACATTTGCAAACCGGTAGCGAAGGTAAGTGAATACCCACCCCTGGTCCCAAAGGTGCTTTTTTCCAGAAGGCAACCGGACCTTCTTGGTTTTGGTCTTTCAAAATGTTTCGCTTCTCATCCAAGCAGCTTTTTGTCAGCGTTCCAGAAAACCCACCAGCTCCGAGTAAAAACTCTGAAGCAATTAATTTTCAAAGTTCTATTTACTAGAATAGGTAAACTGGCACATCTGGGAAAACCCGAATCTGAGAGGGCCGGGTGTTCCCTCAGTAAATCAACCCCCCCCCAAACCATCCCCTCACTCCTCAGTCGATCACATGCTCCAATCACCATCCGTCCCATCTCGAGACCTCACTCCGACCACTCCTTCTCCAGATCAGTGGTGGGTTCCTCCCGGTTCGGCCGAGCTGGTAGCAGTGACGATATGACGTCACCGAACCACTTCTCTTTGTTCGGGAGCTGGGCCCTCCCACCCCCGCCCCCCACGTTATTCTTACCTTTTATTTGGCCCCGCCCCCAATCTATTTGCTGCCTCCCGAATCCCAGCTGATCGGCTAGAAGGAAAAAAACTGTTTAAACTCTTGCCACGGGGCTTCAAAGAGCCGCCCTACAGCTGATCAGTGTTAAAAGGCAGTGTGGTGGTAGATCAGTGCGCTCGAAAAACAAATGGGTAGACCAGTGCGCTCGAAAAACAAATAGGTAGACCGGAATGCTCCAAGAACAAATGGGTAGACTGGACCAACCGCAAGCAGTTAAAAGCCTGGTAGACCACTACCTCTGCTAAATCCTAAAGAATTGTCACATGACCATCAAACCACGCCCATAAAATAAGCCACAGAACCAGTAGTTAAAAATTTTAGAACCCACCCCTGCTCCAGATGCAGGATCGGCCTGACCTTGACCGACAGGAAGAATGCTATTATGTCTTCAGACAACCCCTCTACTAAATCCCCCCTCCTACTTTCTCACACAGGAGAAGGTGGCAGCATGGAAGCTTCCGGCCTCATATGGCTTCCAAAGCTTGACACTTTTTGGATGAGAAACGAAACGTCTTCAGAGAGAAAAAAAAAAACCCAAGAAAGTCCAGTTGCCTTTTGGAAAAAGTACATTTGGGACGACCATGATGACCTGAATGATTGAAAAGTTCCATACGTACATAAGAGGATGACAGTGTCAAAAATACAATAACTAATAACGGGGGATCAAAGAATTGAAGGGACGATTTAAGCCGTAAAATAGAATCCCTTGTTCGGTGTAGGTTAGAGTTAGAAAAAAATAGTGATTCAATCATACAGTGATTATCCTGTCCAGGTTAAAGACAAGGCCGGCTTTACATCCGGCATGAGAGCTTCTTGAGATGTTTGTTTAGTGTGATCTATTTATGGAGGTTCTCAATCATTCAGGTTGTGGTTGTCCTAAAGGTGCTTTTTCCAAAAGGCAACTGGACTTTCTTGCTTTTTTCCCTGAAAACATTTCGCTTCTCATCCAAGAAGCTTCTTCAGTTCTGACTGAATGGTGGGGAATGGAAGGATTTATATACTTAGTACCAGTCCTTTCAAGAGTCTTAGAAAGGTTCCACACCCACCCGATTTTCAGGGGACTCTGAAAATACAGACAAAACCCCAAGTGGCTTCAATGTCTCTCAAAGAGAACTAATGACTGATCCTCAGAGAGAGTGCTAACGACCAGATGACTGCAAAATAGTCTTGGTGGTGCAGCAGACTAAAGCACTGTTAAAGTAATACCAGCTGCCTGCGATTACTGCCAGTTCAAATCTCACCAGGCTCAAAGTTGACTCAGCCTTCCATCCTTTCGAGGTAGGTAAAATGAGGACCCGGATTGTGGGGGCAATAAGCTGACTTTGTATAAAAAAGAACACCGCTTGGGGGGCCCGAAAGCCCTACTAAGCAGGTATATACAAAAGTATGAAGGGTATTGCTTAATGCATTGTAAGCTGCCCTGAGTCTCCGGAGAAGGGCAGCATATAAATCGAATCAATCAATCAAACAATCAATCAATCAATCAATCATAATAAATAAATAAAATAAATAAATAAATAAATAAATAAATACATACATACATACATACATACATACATACATACATACATACATACATAAATAATACATAAATCCGTTCACTTCCCACCATTCAATCAGAAGTGAAGAAACTTCTTGGATGAGAAGTGAAACGTTTTCAAGGGAAAAACCTAAGAAAGTCCAGTTGCCTTTAGTGCAGGGGTGTTAAACTCAATTTCATTGAGGGCCTCATCAGGGTTGTGTTTGACCTCGGGGGGCCAGGGGTGTGTGGCCAGCATGACGTCACTTGTGTCGGGGGGGGGCATGTGGTGGCCTGAGCACTCTGCCAGTGAAAACGGACTCCCGAGCTCCGTTTTTGGCTGCGACAGCCTCCTGCAATCCTCTGCCAGCAAAAACGGAGCTCGGGGGGGCTGCTCACGCCCCTCGTGAACTCTGTTTTTGCTGGCAGAGGTCCCGCCAGCCAGTCCTTCACTATTTCCAGGGTGGCCCCGCGGGCCAGATCTAAGCACCCCACGGGCTGGATCTGGCCCCCGGGCCTTGAGTTTGACACCCCTGCTTTAGCGTGATCTGTTAAGTCAGTCACTGTGACTTGTAAGCCATGGCTTAAGGCAAGGTGTGATCCCAGCCCAGTTTGGCTTTATCCAAATCCAAGGAATGCTCGTGGCTTCAGTAGCTTCCTGCTTGCCAAGAGTTTCATGTATCTGAAAAAAAGAGTAACAACAATACCAGTCTTGTTGCCGGAGGCGTCTTCTAGAGCTTCCTCTTTTGAAGCAACAGTTGCTTCCTGCAACGGTAAAGTAGAGAGCTGTGTTTTCCCCTCCGGTTCCAGTAGTGTAGAGTCCGTATCTATAAAGGCAGAAGACGAGGGGAAAAATTGCTAATATGATAGGCAGCTCAGATCCCTCGGGTGTTTATAAAGATTTTCATACATTTCAATAGAGGAAAGACCAGTCTTCTGTTAAGGGGACATAACTTGATGGCTTTCAACCATATTTGAAAGCCTTGGTGGTTCAGCCGACTAAAGTGCTGTTAAGTAGCACTTAGCTGCCAGCTGCCTGCAATTACTGCGAGTTCAAATCTCACCAGGCTCAAGGCTGACTCAGCCTTCCATCCTTCTGAGGTAGGTAAAATGAGGACCCGGATTGTGGGGGCAATAAGCTGACTTTGTATAAAAAAAGAACACCGCTTGGGGGGGGCGGGCGAAAGCCCTACTAAGCAGGTATATACAAAAGTATGAAGGCTATTGCTTAACGCATTGTAAGCCACTCTGAGTCTCTGGAGAAGGGTGGCATATAAATCGAATCAATCAATCAATCAATCAATCAATCAATCAATCAATCAATCAATAAATTTCTAAGCCTCTCTCCGTTCACCACCAAAATTCTTTGGAAGGGAAATGCTAGTTAGGAAAAAAATATTTAGTTCTTTACAGGTGCAGGAAAAGCCAGATCCGGATTCCCACTGTAATCTGTGGAAGTTCAGAAAGGTTTTTTTACTGAACAATAACAGCCAATGTTTCTTTTTTGACGATATCACTGGGGTCATTGTCGTTGGCTGCAGAAACCCACAAAAATTTGAAATGTTCTTTGCTCTACTTACCACTCCTCTCTATCAGGCAATCAAGAATAGGGCTGGAAGGGATCTTGGAGATCTTCTAGTCCAACCCCCTGCTCAAGCAGGAGACCATATACCAGTGATGGCTAACCTTTTTGCCATTGCATGTCAGGAGAGGGGTGGGTGGGGGAGGGTCGCACGCATGTGTGCCCACACCGGTAATTCTATGTGCCCTGCCCATGCGCGCGCAACCCCCCTCTCCCCCCCCTGCTCCTGGTTCATGATGGCCTGGTAGGCTGTTTTTCTTTCTTACCTGGTTCCAGATCCTCTCTATTTATCTGGGAAAGGTGAAAACAACCTTTCTCACTCCCTCGGAGGCCCTCCGGAGGCCTGAAACGGCCCATTTCCCAGCTCCCGGTGGGGCAGGAAGTGACAGGTTTTGGGAGGGCCTGCGAGGGGGTGGGGAAGGCTGCTTGCGTCCTCCCCAGATGCATGGAGAGGATCTGGAGCCAGGTAAGAAAGAAAAACAGGCCTTCCCCACCGCCCCACCCCCCAGGACCTCCGGAGGCAGCCTGTTTCCCTACTTCTGGTGGGCCCAGAAGGCCCGAAAATCAGCTGGCCGGCGTGCGCATGCGCGCCAGAGATCAGCTGCCGTGCCCACTGATATGGCTACACGTGCCACCTGTGGCACGCGTGCCATAGGTTCGCCACCACGGCCCTATACCACTTCAGATAAGTGGTTGTCCAGTCTTTTCTTAAAAACCTCCAGTGATGAAGCACCTACAACTTCTGAAGGCAAGCCATTCCACTGGTTAATTGTTCTCGCTGTTAGGAAGCGTCTCCTTAATTCCAGGTTGCTTCTCTCCTTGATTAGTTTTCCATCCATTGTTTCTTGTCCTGCCTTCAGGTGCTTTGGAGAATAAGTTGACTCTCCCTCTTCTTTGTGGCAGCCCCTCAAATACTGGAATACTGCTATCATGTCACCCCTAGTCCTTCTTTTCTCTGTACTGGCCATATCCAATTCCTGCAACCGTTCTTCATATATTTCTGTCTCCAGGCCTTTAATCATCTTAGTTGCTCTTCTTTGCACTTTTTCCAAAGTCCCAACATCTTTTTTGTAATGTGGGGACCAAAATTGGATGCAGTATTCCAGGTATGGCCTTATCAAGGCTTTATAAAGCAGTACTACTGTGTTTTCCCAAAAATAAGACCGGGTCTTATATTAATTTTTCCTCCAAAAGATGCATTAGGGCTTATTTTCTGGTTAGGTCTTATTTTGGGGAAAATACGGTACTAAATGCATCCATCTGGCTGACAATCTTAACTGAGGCATTTTGGGGTTTGGGCTTATATTACGAGCATTCTGAAAAATCATGCTAGGACTTATTTTCTGGTTGGGTCCTATTTTCAGGGAAACAGGGTAATATTTCATGTGATTTTGATTCTATGCTTCTTTATACAATCAAGGATTGTATTAGCCTTTTTGGCAGCTGCAGCACACTGTTGGCTCATTTTTAAGTGATCGTCCACTAGGACTCCAAGGTCCCTCCCACATTTACTGGTTTTGAGCCAGGTTTCACCTAACCTGTGCTTTTACCTTCAACATACCTTGTGATTCTTCAATGCCCTCTGCAGCAGAAACAGAAGTTTCTTCGGATGAAATTAGTTCACTGGGAAAAGAATGAGAGATGAGTGAACAATCCAATAGCAGAAAAACAAGGTGGATTATGAAATGGATAGATTTTCACTCACCTGAATAAGGTATCTGTTAATGCGCCAGCATCACTCTCCTTGGGAAAAAAGATGAAACATTTTGGTATTTATAGCCAAACTAAAAACATTGGAAACATTTATTTTTATACATGTAAAAAAAAAAAATGAGGCATAGGAACATTTCCTTGAGACTGCCTTGAGTTTCTGATTTGATGACCTTATACATTGTCAGGCACAAATAACCAGGAGCATTTATTGAGTTCAAAGCACAGAAGAGTTTATTATGGCTAGCTATATGCAAGAATCCGGTCAACTAACAGTCAAAGTTAAATTGGTGCTAGATAAAGGTCTACAGAATTCATGGAGGGCTGGTTTTGGATCTCTTGTGGCTGCGCGATGACTCCAAACTAATGACATATTTAACTCTGCCTTCCAGCCCAGCTTGCTCAACTCCTGGAATAAATTCTATTAATAATATAGTCAATACATTACCAGATCAATTTCATAAATAAATAAATAAATAAATAAATAAATAAATAAATAAATAAATAAATAAATAAATAAATAAATAAATAAATAAATCAGCCTGGGACTTAGTTATCTAGGAAAAACACAGTGAGGGATTATTTGATTGCGCAGCTTTCCTGTGGCTAACATTATTTCCATAGACATTTGCTTTGGAACAAAGTCCACTGTTTCATTTGATTTATTTTAACAATAGCTTTTTCTCTAAAGGACCAAGGAGAAGTTTAAAAAGAAGAGTCACGAATCTATATTGGAAGGACCCATGTAACCTCGAGAGGAAAGCTAGATGAAAAAGACTTAGCCGGTCCATTTTTTTTCCTCTCCCTTTTTTTTTACAAATTTTGTTAGTGGCAAAGTCGTGTCCGATCCATCGTGACCCCATGGACAACATTTCTCCAGGCCTTCCTGTCTTCTACCATCCTCTGGAGTCCATTTAAGCTCATGCTGACTGCTTCAGTGATTCCATCCAGCCACCTTGTTCTCTGTCGTCCCCTTCTTCTTTTGCCCTCCATCATTCCCAGCATTAGGCTATCCTTCCTTCTCATTAGGTGGCCAAAATATTTGAGTTTCATCTTCAGGATTCAGAATATGATGGTCATAGCAAACACTCTTTTTCAACAACCCAAGAGACGACTCTACACATGGACATCACCAGACGGTCAACATAGATTGACTATGTGCTCTGCAGCCAAAGATGGAGAAGCTCTATACAGTCAGTAAAAAGAAGACCAGAAGCTGACTGTGGCTCAGATCATGAGCTTCTCATTGCAAAATTTAGACTTAAATTGAAGAAAGTAAGCAATAGGCCACTCAGGTATGAACTAAACTGAATCACTAAATTGAACTAAATTCCTTTTACAAAAGAATACCAGATTTATCATCTGGTCTCCACCATTCAGCTCCACAGATTTCCTGAAGCAACTGCAGGGAATTTCTCTCTCCCTCCAAATGTTATACGTACCGTTTTTCACACTTATGACCACTGCAGCATCCCCATGGTCATGTGACCAAATTTGGATGCTTGGCAACTGGCTCACATTTATGATGGTTACAGTGTCCCGGGGTCATGCGATTCACTTTTGTGACCTTCTGACAAGCAAAATCAATGAGGAAGCCGGGTTCATTTAACAATTGCTGTGATTCACTTAACTGTGGCAAGAAACATCGTAAAATGGGGCAAAGGACACTTAACAAATGTCTCGCTTAACAACAGAAATTTTGGGCTGAATTGTTGGTGTAAATCGAGGACCACCTGTACTGTATAATTACTGCTACCAGAATTCTTTCTCCATTGGTGAGACTTAGCTACAAAGCTGAAAGGTGTAGTTAGCAACACTGCAGGGCAGGTGTACTTTTCCCATATCTGATTTTTTCCAGATGCAGTAAATTTCAGCCTGAACTACTCCCAAATGTTCTGTATGGGTGGAGAACAGCAGTGTTTCTCAACCTTGGCAGCTTTCAGGTAAGAGGACTACTAATCCCAGAATTCTCCAGCCATCCCAGTATTATCATACCCCAGTCCTGTAAATGAAGTATTTTATTCCCAAGGATAGTTAAAGAGAATCTTCTTCCTCAATCTATTATCCTCTGGATCAGGGGTGAAATGCTCCCAGTTCGGACCGGATTGCCTGATCCGGTAGTGATGGAGGCTGGTGGTTCGGAGAACCGGTAGCAAAAATCCCTGCCCCCCCACATGCCCAGCTGAGCCTTGCAATCATCAGAGGTTTTTTTTTTACTTTTAAAAACATTTTTTCTACAACCTCTTCAGCTGAAAAAATGCTTTGAAAAGTAAAAAAAAAAAAAAAAGCCTGTGATGATCACACCGCTCAGCTGGGATCGTCAGAGACTTTTAAAAGCATTTTTTTCTACAATCTCTTCGGTTGTAGAAAAAAATGCTTTTAAAAGCCTCTGGCGATCCCAGCTGAGTTGCCTGATCGTCAGTGGCTTTTAAAAGCATTTTTTTCTGCAACCTCTTAAGGTTGTAGAAAAAATGCTTTTAAAAGTAAAAAATAAAAAGTTGGCCACGTCCACCGTCACATTACACCGCCCACCCCCAATAAGCCACGCCCAAGAACCGGTAGTAACAAATGTTACATTTCACCACTGCTCTGGATACTTTGAGACACCAACACTGAGTACTGGGTTTTCTGGGAACTGGAGGACAACTAACTGGGACGGCTGGATTAGGGTGGACATCTTTACATTTGGAGGGGAGGGAGGAAAGTACATTTGAATCTGGGATGCCACAATTCATAATGGACTAGACAGCTGTGAGGACAAAAACTAACAAAGTATAGCTTTTAAAATTTAATTTTCAAGATTTTACAGCTACACGGTGCTCGGTTTGCATCTAACCGATTCATGCATTCAAATGCCCATCAAGCACCAAGTAAATCTATCCAAGTATTAATAAAGGAGGATATTTGAGTAGCATATTTGATGTTACCTAATTTTGGGTACTGAAATATCTGCGAGAAAACAAGCAAGTCAGAGGTGGCTTTCACATACTGCCGTGATGGAGAACCTGTGGTACGCGTGCCACCTGTGGGACACGGAGCTATCTCTTTGGGCACGCGAGCCGACACCCAGGTCAGCTCCACCGAGCACGGCCGCGCGCCTCCCACCGGCCAGCTGATTTTGGGGTCTCTGTCGGGAGACACAGGCTCCACCACCCCCAAACTGCGATGTTGTCACATCCTGGCTTTGACCCTCTACGCATGTGCAGATGACGGTGCGCGCACATGAGTGAAGCCAGTGCATGCGTTGATGATGGCACGTGTGTGAGCGCGGTTCATTTTTAAGGTGCCATGTGACTGTGTGCTACTAGACTACTTCCCCTGGAAAGTCTTATTAAGTAGGCTGTATCCATTGAGCCATTTCTGCATATAACATATATAGGGAAATACAGGAAGATAGTCCCTTCCTTCCTTTCTTCCTTTTTTTTTTTTTTTTTAAATTTGATTTATATGCCGCCCTTCTCCGGAGAGTCAGGGTGGCTTACAATGCGTTAAGCAATAGCCTTCATTCTTTTGTATATTTTATACAAAGTCAGCTTATTGCCCCCACAATCTGGGTCCTCATTTCACCTACCTTAGAAAGGATGGAAGGCTGAGTCGACCTTGAGCCTTGGAGAGATTCGAACCAGCAGTAAATTGCAGGCAGCTGTGTTAATAACAGGATGCGTAGACCACTGTACCATCAAGGCTCTGTTGCCTTCCTTCCTTTCCTTCCTTCCTTTCTTTCCTTCCTTCCTTGGTATTCCACGGCTTTCTTTACCACATGCACGGAGCACGCACATTAGCAAGCCGGTAGGAAAGGTAAGTGCATTTTTACCCCTGAACCAAACCAATGTGGTAAAAAGAAACCTCTGTCAATATTCGGGGACAGAACAGCCCAGAGGGAAAGAATTCGACTTCCCAGGTTCTGACTGAATGGTCTTCTTCTAGGGCAGTGTTTCTCAACCTTGGAAGCTTGAAGATGGGTGGACTTCAACTCCCAGAATCCCCCAGCCAGCAGCGCTGGCTGGGGGATTTTGGGAGTTGAAGTCCACCCATCTTCAAGCTTCCAAGGTTGAGAAACACTGTTCTAGGGAATCTTTTCTTGGAAACAAGTAAATGAAACTAACCTTGGGAGAGTCGCCCTCCATCCTTATCCCGGAGATCAGGTCTGCATCCGTCTGGTTACCAACCGAATGGTGATTACACCTGCCAGCAGAAAGCAATATTTGCATATGGCTGCTATGCAGCTTTCCCTTCCCCTAAAGTGAAACGCCTGGGGTTATTTTTATCTACAGCTTTTACCCAAGCGAAGAATCCAACCCCAGCTGCAACACAAAACCAGCGTAGGACAAAGTAGAATGAGTAGCTATCACTACCGTGTTTCCCCGAAAATAAGCCCTCCCTGAAAATATTTCAGTGCATGCGCAGCTGGTCCCCGCCATTTCCTCTGGTTAGGGTTAGGGAGACAGAGCTGGAAATCAGGTAAGACGGCAAGAGGAGCCCCGTCTTGCTCCAGGCGCCCCAAAATTAATAAGACCGCCTTGAAAATAAGGCCAAGCGCTTATTTCGGGGTTCAAAAAAATATAAGACAGGGTCTTATTTTCGGGGAAACACAGTAGTTTTAAATGCCTGTACAACAGTAACCCTTGTAGCCAAGATAATGACGTCACCCAGAGAGATGAAATTGCAAAAAAAAATTGACTTTTGGAAGCAAGAGCTTCCTTAGCCAAGAGAGATAAAAAATTTAGATGGTGCCTCTCATATAGTGGACAGTGGCTCATCTGATGACCTATCATGACATTTTGCCCTCGATTCTTATAGCTGAAGGAAAGTAACCCTAACACCCAAAAAAAATTTGAGTTAGATACCAATTTGCGGGACCACCTTCTGCCGCCGATAGCCTCCCACCGACCAGTACGCTCCCACAGAGAGGGACTCCTCAGGGTGCCGTCAGCCAGGCAATGTCGGCTGGCGACCCCCAGGGGGAGGGCCTTCTCTGTGGCAGCTCCTGCCCTCTGGAACGATTTGCCCCCGGAGATACGAAGGATATCGGATCTCCGGGTCTTTCGCCGTGCTCTGAAAACTTTTCTTTTCCATCAAGCAGGGCTGGCGTGGAAAAACCCCCCCCCCCCACTTTTTTTAGTTTTTTAGTTGTTTAGCTTTTAATCTGTCAATGGGTTTTAATTCGAATTGTTTTAAATTTGGGACGAAGTATATAATTCTTTTAATAATTTTAAATTTTGTATTGTTATGTGTTTTAGTTCTGGCTGTGCACCGCCCTGAGTCCACTAGGAGAAGGGCGGTATACAAATTGAATTGGATTAAATAAATAAATAAATAAATAAATAAATAAATAAATAAATAAATAAATAAATAAATAAATAAACAAACAAACAAACAAACAAATAAATAAATAAATAAATAAATAAATAAATAAATAAATAAATAAATAAATAAATAACTATTCAGGACAGAAGGCTGCTAAAAAAAATAACGCATGTAACATAGCACTTGTAGAGGGATAACAAAACCCAGAGGGACAGCGGCGCTTCTAAGAACATTGCTGGTTCAAAGAAGAAGTTCTAAACAACATTTGTGAAAGATATTTGGCCCAAGACTTGCCCAATTAAGGGGTAATGACTAGAAATGTTCCCAAGAACTGCCCATGTTTTTATAAAGAAAAAGATGGGCTGTTAGATATTGGGCAATCTATGAATGTCTTCTTAAGCTCCAAAGATGACCTTGAAAACAAAGCTACTGTGGATGATGGGTACAGGCAAAGGTATTAGTTCTACTAACTAGTCCATCATAAAAAGTTTACAGTTGAATGACTCCATCCATCCATCCATCTTAGATATAAATATATACACCAGCGTGCCTACCATCCCTGTTCTAATGTTCCCTTTAATTGTATTCATTTTATGTATTCAATTCATGTTTATACTTATATATTTTATCTAATATGTACTCGACAAAATAAAATAAAATAAAATTATATATGTATGTATGTATGTACGTACGTATGTATGTATGTATGTATGTATGTTTTCTGAGGTTTTCGTGGGTGTTTGTATGTAGGTCTTTGGTTACGCGGGAGAAAACCCGAATAACCAATGACATATATATATATATATATATATATATATATATATATATATATATATATATATATGTATGTATACATACACACACACACACACACACACACACACACACAGCAATAGCACTTAGACTGATATATCACTTCATAGTGCTTTACAGCCTTCTCTAAGCAGTTTACAGAGTCAGCATTTTGCCCCCAACAATCTGGGTGCTCATTTTACCGACCTCGGAAGGATGGAAGGCTGAGTCAACCTTGAGCTGCTCAGGATTGAACTCCTGGCTATGGACAGAGTCAGCCTGCAATATTGGATTTTAACCACTGAGCGGGAGGGAGGGGAGGGAGGGAGGGAGGGAGGAAAATAGCAATAGCACTTAGACTTATATACCGCTTTACAGTGCTTTCCAGCCCTTTCTAAGCAGTTTACAGAGTCAGCCTATTTCCCCCAACAATCTGGGTCCTCACTTTACCCACCTCGGAAGGATGGAAGGCTGAGTCAACCTTGAGCCTGGTGAGATTCGAACTGCCAAACTGCAGTCAGCCGGCAGTCAGCAGAACTAGCTTGGTTGGTATGCAATTTAATCAATAAAATTAAGCATTAAAATAGAAGAATTGTTTAAATATATATATATAATATATAAAATCAAAAGATGGAGATGGAGTTGTTAATACAGGTGGGGAGGGGGGTTCTTGTGGGATCAACCAGCCCCATGGTTGTGTGGGCCCCGGTGTCCCCCACACAAGTTTATACACTATTATCAATGGTTATGTGGATTTGCTTATCTGAATCATATATAAAAGGGAACAGAAGTCATTAGGATACAATAGATAACTAAGAATCAAATGAGAAGATGCTGGCAATGTAAGAGAAAGATTATCTATTGAGAACTTAAAAATCAAATTGAGCTGCATGTAGCCCTTATCAACCTTGGAAGAGGCAACATTTTAAAAGCTGGGTCTCTGATCTTACTTGTGTTCATCCAATATCATATCCGAGGTGCTTCCATTTCTTAAGCGTTGTTTCCCAAATATCAACAATATTTGAGGATTTCCAACAGTCCCGGGCAGAGAGCTTCTTCGAACCAGTTGCAGAGAATCAAGTGACAATGCTTCTGTTAAAGACACAGAGAAGGAGAGCGTGGCAGGATTAATAATGGGAGGAAGGCCAGAAAATCTGGCTGTCAGCCCTGGAGGCCATCTTTTGCATTGGGCCTTCAGGCCTGCCACGTTTAGTGCTGTGGGAAACTGGGAGGGGGGATTGTATGGAGCAGGGGTGATATGTAGTCATAATAACATTCCTTTCTCAGAGGGTCAAGGACAGCTTGCCCTGCACCTGGATTGGTGTGACTGGGAGGCAGCTCCAGTTGGGACGGTGCATTGATTGGACCATGTGATGGACATTTGGGTGCAGGGGATGGGACTTTTTTGGATGGGAAAAAGCTGGAAGCTTTCAGATTCGGGTTTTCCCAGATGTGCCAATATGACATCTCTAATAAAATGGAACTTTGAGGAACTTGTAGCCTCGGAGTCTTCTTTCATTGGGAGTGTTACTTGGAACCCTGACATTGGCTTTGTTTATCTGGAATCATGCAGATCAAGGGTTGGGATGTCTATTGAGATTTTCAATTAAACCAGGTCATGGTTATCTCATACGTGTTTTTTTTTTTCCCTAAAAGGCATCTGTACTTTCTTGATGTTTTCTTTGAAAAGGTTTTGAGAAATGTTTTCAAAGAAAACACCAAGAAAGTCCAGTTGCCTTTGGGGAAAAAAACATTTCTGGGGACAATTGAATCGGGATACTGCAAAGTACAGTTTGATCCTCCAAGATGTAAGCCATGTGGCCAATTTCAAATAGTTTTTTTTTGCAATCTGCGAGTTTTACATACAAAAAACTAATTGCTCAATAAAGACATTTCAGTCAGAACCTTTTGAATGGCTGCTGAGCTCCACGGTTTCCAAAAAAAAAAAAAAAAAAAAAGGATGCCTACTTTAATCTTCATACACAGATGATAGATGCAAATGCTAATCCACAAAAGCATAAATATATACAATAATATTAATGAAAAAGTAGTAACTACAAACTTAATAATAATAAAAGGGATTGGAAGAACCTGGAAAATGATGTTATAGAAGAATTCCCAAACTTTGAGTATGTTGCTTCCGAGTTTTCCACCTTACCCCTTTTCTTTAAAAAAATAATAAATTCAAATTTTGAAAAATTAACACATAGCAACATGCAAATCAGATATAGGTTTCTTCTTCCAGGACTGTATGGTCCTCCTTTTAGCCAATCCATTTGCACCCAAGGCATAGTTTTTAGCTTACCTAGCAGTAAAATATCTTGTGTGGACCAGCACGTGCTCCAAGGCCAGGAGAGTTGGGTTCCTAGTCTTTGATAGCAACAGCTTTCCTATTTAAAGAAGAGGAACTGAAAGTAAGGAGATTTGCCTTCCAGAAGCCAGAATGCAGTTCAACTAATTTACAGAAAGCTCCTTCTACCAGGAAATAAGCATCTGGTTAGATGACTCTTTTTTTGAAATAATTGGGCCCCACTACCTCCATCTTGAAAAACAAAGTACTACAGGTATTCCTTGACTTACAATCATTCGTTTAGTGACCGGTCGAAGTTATAACAGCACTGAAAAAAAGTGACTTATGACCGTTTCCCCCCCTTATGACCATTGCAGCATCTTGTTGTGGCCTGCCAGCGGCCAGGTGATCTGGCAGCAGAGTCGGACAGTGAGGAGGTTGGGGAGGAACATGGGCCAGTCCTGGAGCCTGGGGAAGGTTCTGATGAGGGCTCTGTGTCGGAGGCAGAGAGGGGGCCAGAGCCGTATGCCAGTTATCAGCTGCCTTTGGAGTCAGACATCAGTGAGGCAGACGAACAGCTGGAGCCTGTTCCCAGTGTGCGCATGCGCAGAGTTGCCAGACGAAGGGAACAGCTAAAGAACAAGGGTCGACTTGGGAGTAAGGCCACAGGTGCACGATGAAGGGCCCCTCCCAGAGGGAATAAAAGAGGAGCAAAAAGGGAAGGGAGTTTGCAAGAGACAAATTAGTTCATTCCTGCATTCTTGCCAAGCATTGCATCTGAAAAATATCGGCCTGGCCACTCTCCAAGCCTGATAAAAGTCGGTAATTGTGAACTATCTTGAAAGACTGTGGGAGAGGAAAGACTTTGCTGGAGAGGAATTCACTGTACATTAAATAAAAGGGGTTTATCGGGACGAGGACTCATGTCAGCGTCTCAGCGCTGACACAGAAGAGGGAGATAAGCCTGAACTTTTGCCTGCTAAATCCCTTTGAAGCTCGGTCTCCTTGGAAATGAAGTGTGGGGGGAACATTCCTGTGAACTGACGAGGGAAGAAGTCAGGAGAGTGACTTGGAAGATAGCCAATGAGAAGCAGAGAATTGGGGATCGGAAAGGGAGGGATTGGGGGGCAAAGGTCAGTCCTGACCGCACGAGCCATGATCCGGTTGCTGTACTCGAATAAAGAGAAAATTTCCTTAAAAATTGGCAGTTTGGAAATTCATTTATTTTGAGATAGCATCGAAGTCTGACAACTCGGCTTTGTGCTGCTGGGGAAGCCTAGGCCAGAACATATCTCTGCGGTCATATGATCAAAATTTGGACACTTGGCAACTGGCATCAGGCACCCTGACTGTGTTCACAGCAGTGTGCAAGTGCTAGGACAGCTGTCTGAGGAGATTCTCAGTCATGCAGGTCATAGTTGTCCCAAAGGTGCTTTTTCAAGAGGCAACTGGACTTTCTGTTTTTTCTTTTTCTTTTTCCCTTTGAAGTCGTTTCACTTCTGGGACAGCTGGAACTTCAAACAGTCGAGGAAGAACAATAGTTAATTACAGGGCACTCTCTGTAATTTGTGCCTGGTCATTTATGCCTCAAGTGAACTCTGAGCTGATTTGTTCGAAGATCCATTGGTTTGTTTTTTTGGCTGTCTACAGTTGTTGTTTTTGTGGAGTCTACTTCAGCACCACAAGTTCAAAACTTTTTATTTTATTTTATTTTATTTTATTTTATTTTATTTTATTTTATTATTTATTTTATTTTATTTTATTTTATTTTATTTTATTTTATTTTATTTTATTTTATTTTATTTTATTTGTTTGTCAGTCAAGCACATATAAGATAACAGGTAAAAGTATAAACATACTTTTACAAGTACAAACATTTGAATACATGAAAAGAGTAAGAGTAAAAAGGAATATTAGGACAGGGACGGTAGGCACACTGGTGCAATACTCATCCTCTATTGCCTCACAGAGGGGCTAGTTTTTGAACTAAGTTAGCATCGTAGGAACATTATGTATCTATGTAAAAAAAAAGACTTGGAAAAACAATTCGGAACTCTTGATGTTGTACATGTTTGTGGCAGCAAGACTACGTTATGCACAAAAATGGAAGGACATTTTGATTCCCACTGTGGACAAATGTGCCGAGGTGGGGGAAAAAAAATGAAACTTTGATTCAGGGTTTTACTGATTAGATTTTATTTATTTATTTATTCAATTTGTATCCTGCTCTTCTCCTAGTGAACTCAGGGCGGTGCACAGCCAGAAGTAAAACACATACCAATACAAAATTTAAAATTTTTAAAAAGAATTATATGACTTTGGCCCAAAATTTAAAACATTCAAACTAAAACCCATTGACAATTTAAAAGCTAAAAAACTAAAAAAGACTAAAGAAGGGGGGGGTCACGCCAGCCCTGCTTGATGGAAAAGAAAAGTTTTTAGGGCACGGCGAAAGACCCAGAGATCCGATATCCTTCGTATCTCCGGGGGCAAATCGTTCCAGAGGGCAGGAGCTGCCACAGAGAAGGCCCTCCCCCTGGGGGTCGCCAGCCGACATTGCCTGGCTGACGGCACCCTGAGGAGTCCCTCTCTGTGGGAGCGTACTGGTCGGTGGGAGGCTATCGGCGGCAGGTTTGTAGATAGGTTTGTTGCTATAGAAATGGCTAGTTATAATATTATGGAAAAGTAAAAAAGTTGATGTTTGATGTTGCTGTCTTATTCTATCTACTGCACCAGAGGGAGTTGGAAATCAATGCCTTTTTTTTTTCCTTTTCCCCCTTCTTTCCTACACTTTTCTCCATCCCCTTTCCCTCCCCCTTTGTTCCTTATTATTTGCTCTCGTATTTTCATGTTTTATATTATAAGCTAATAAAGAAAAAGGAACATTATGTACTCCTGGCTGCCAGCTTGGCTGGCTTCAGAAAAGGGACCAGTTCCCTTTTCATGAAAGGGAGTGAAAGTCACAGGAATCAATGGCTATTAGATGACCTCTAATAAAGGTCATCTAATAGCCAAAAGCAAAGGTCGTCTGCTAAGAGATTAGTGGGCTTCCACGTACAGTTTATTCGCTGCTGTGAGAACAGATCACTTGACTAGATGGGCCAGGGCCCTGATCTAGCAGGGCACTGCTTATGTTCTTCTATTATCTTCTTATCAAGGCAGGTAAAAATGATACCAAAGCATCAGGGGTGGGTTCTACTTATCTTTACTACCAGTTCACAACGGGAACTTGCGAAGCTTCTGTGCATGCGCAGATCGCCTATGACGACATCTGGGGCATTGGGTGGAGCCTCCCACCTGTTTTACTACCGGTTCTTGCGAACCAGTCTGAACCGGGGGCAACCCACCACTGCAAAGCATGTTTGTGCCATGATAAGTCCATGGAAAAATAGGTTCTAAGATGGGGCGGGGATGGTAAATCCAGAAATAGCAATAGTGCTTAGACCAGCAGTGAAATCCTCTGAAGTCTGCTACCTCTTCTGTAAGACTGCTACTGAGCGCACGCTTTGCGCGCACATGCACGCCTGAGGCGCACCCGCTCAGCGCTAAAAAAGGTACATTTTGAAGCCTTCCGAGTCTGCAAAGGTAAGTAGAACAGCGAAGGGGGGGGGATCCACTGTGCCACGCAGATTAGCTAGATTAGCTAGAAAGCAGGAAATCTGACAATTCTAGCTAATATAAATCGCACGTCACAGCTGATCGCCACCCAGCTGATCATTGGAAATATCGGTTCGCCCAAATCAGTAGCATTTTTTTATTACCGGCTCAGGCGAACCGGTCCAAACTAGTAGCATTTCACCCCTGGCTTAGACCTATATATGTACCGCTTCACAGTGCTTTTCTAGCCCTCTCTAAGCGGTTTACAGAATCAGCATCTTGCCCCCAACAATCTGGGTCCTTATTTTACTGACCTTGGAAGGCTGAGTTAACCTTGAGCAGGTCAGGATCGAACTCCTGGAATGAGCAGTGTGTTAGCCTGCAGTACTGAATTCTAACCACTGAGTCACCAGGGCTCATAAAAATGCTCATAAACAGCAAATTTGTTTATACAATTTCTCATCTCAGGTCAACTGATAATATTTAAAAATTAAAGAGTTTAGTCAGGATTACAGTGCTTTCATAGATGAGATTTGTCACCACGTATAATTAAACAGAATATAGTATAATCTGGAATCTTTGTCTGAACTCGTTCTGGCTAATTGCAGAAAAATCAACACCTCCTCTGAAAGTAACCTTGATTTAGGATCAAAAGAGCTAACCAATGTTTTGTTCATGGTATAAAAGGTAAAGGTAAAGGTTCCCCTCGCACATATGTGCTAGTTGTTCCTGACTCTAGGGGGTGGTGCTCATCTCCGTTTCAAAGCCGAAGAGCCAGCACTGTCCAAAGACGTCTCCGTGGTCATGTGGCTGGCATGACTAAACACCAAAGGCACACGGAATGCTGTTACCTTCCCACCAAAGGTGGTCCCTATTTTTCTACTTGCATTTTTTACGTGCTTTCGAAGTGCTAGGTTGGCAGAAGCTGGGACAAGTCATGGGAGCTCACCCCGTTACGCGGCACTAGGGACTGAACCGCTGAACTGCCGACCTTTCAGTTGACAAGCTCAGCGTCTTAGCCACTGAGCCATCTATAGAGATTCTCAATTGTGCAGGTCAGGGTGCTTTTCCAGAAGACAACTGGACTTTCTTTGGTTTTTTTGTTTGTTTGAAAATGTTTTGCTTCTCATCCAAAAATGAGTTGCCTTTTAGAAAAACACCTTATTCGTATCTAGGGACATTCAGTTCTTTATTATCTCTGCTCACTCAACTTTACAAGCAAGAAAGTTGCGGATGATCAGTTCCTTTTCAAGTTCTCTTCCAACCTACTTCCAACCTATTTCCAAAACTTGTCTGCGCTTACCTTCTCTTCTGTTCTTATCTCTTCATTGACGTTAGAGCAGGACGAAGGTCTGTCATCACGATCAAACGCACACCTCTGTTTTAACAGAACGTTAACATGCTGGTCAGTTGAAAGAAAAGTCAGTTTACCAAGAAAACCTAGCTCTATTTTGGAAGCATAGCTGCCATCTAAGAGGACACAGTGCTAAAATGCCCGAAGCAAAGAAGAAATATGAATTTGTTTCCTGCAGAGGGAGTATAAAAACATCTTTTTCAAGAACCAAAAAGGCTGAATACATGTTTTGTGTGCCAAAGGCCTTAAATGCAACCTGCTTCTCAGTTTTAGGCAGTGGTGGGATTCAACTGGTTCGCATCACTTCGGCCGAACCGGTTGTTAAATTGCTGGCTGAAGAGGTTGTAGAAAAATTGCTCTTAAAAGTTAAAAAAAAAAAAAAAAGTTGGCCACGTCTACCCAATCACATTACCCCCACCAAGCCACGCACACAGAACTGATAGTAACAAATTTTACATTTCACCACTGCAATGGAGGCTTTTTACAGCTTCCTCTACGGCAGCTTACCCATCTTGGGAGTTTGTATTGGAACACAATCCTCCTAATTCCCAGTTTGTGTGGCTAGGAAGCATGGGAGCAGTAGTCCAACGCATGCCTCAGGCTTTGCTGGCCATCCAGTGCAATGTGGGTATTGTCACTGGAGGACGCTGGGAAATCTGGGCATCTCAGTTCTACCCAGTAACCAAAATAAACAGTTAAATGCATCGTTAAATAAATAAATAGAAAGCCCTACCTGACAAAGTACACCACAGAACAGTCTTCTTAAATACTTCTCCTTGAGTGACTCCAGAGCAGCTACGAATCAAGGCATTAGACAACAGCTGGTGAGTACCTGTAAACCAGGGTCTCCGATCTTGGCAACTTAAAGTGGACTTAAAGTGCACAAGTCTTAAAGTTGCCAAGGTTGGAGATCTCTGCTGTAAACTAAAGCTTTCCCATTCTCATCTAATAAAAATATATTAAATAAACGAATACTCCAGATAAGGAAGCCTCTGTCTAATAGAGGTAGTCCTCAACGTATGACCACAATTGAGCCTGAAATGTATGCTGCCAAGTGAGTTTTGCCCCATTTTATGACATTTCTTGCCACTTTTCTTTTTTAATTTTTAAAATTGATTTTCTATTAAAATACATTTCTTAGCGCTTAATAGACATCGTGTTGTCTGAATATTTAGTCCGCTTAACAATACAAATTTACATTCTTAATCTCCATCCCTCCATCTCCATCCCTCTTTTTCCAACCATTGGTAAAATAACTTCCATGTTTGATAATATTCTACATCTTTTTTCTGTTTAATTTTCAATGTCAATCTATCCATTTCTGCACAACCTTCCTGACTATCTCTTCATCTGGCGGTATATCTTCATTCTTCCAATATTGTGCGAATATAATCCCCGCTGCTGTTAAAACATGCAATATTAAATACATACATATTTTTTTTCTGATATTATACCTAATAAAAGCAGTTCAGGTTTAAAATCTACAGTAGTGGCCAAAATTGTGGAAACCTTTTGGGAAAAGTGTATTTTCTAAAACTAGCTAATAACACCACTTTTTGGGGGGGAGTAGTACCATAAAATTATATATCAATGGAAAGATAATTTAATCAAGAATGTAATGCAATGACTTTTATGAAGGATTTGCTACTAGAGTAGCAGTTACAGGATAAAGAAGAAAAGTGAAACACGTAGAAAAAAATGAGATATACAAAAATTATCACCATAGAAAAACCAAGATATACAATAAACGGCCAATATACAATTTTGGCCACTACTATATATACCAGTGATGGCTAACCTTTTCCGGACTGAGTGCCCAAAGCTCATGAGAATGCATGTGAATGCCTGCATGTGCACAAACTCCAAAATCAATGCGTGCATGGCCCCCGTTGATCCCCCCCACGCATGCTTGTGTGGCCCCCACACATGCACCCTGCCCACCCATGCATGCGTGCATGGCCCCCTCGCATGCATCCTGCCCCCTGGCCATGCGCACACACCCACCCTCACATATCCGGGCCCCCATGCATGCTTGGCAGAGACCCAAAGACCAGCTGTCCAGAGGGAGGTGTGAGCACATGTATGGCAGAGCTGAACTGGGGTGACGGCTCACGTGTCCACAGAGACGGCACTGCGTGCCATCACAAGTATATACCACCACACTTGCTCTAAACTCTGTCGATCAATAGCCATTGACGGACCTACTGCAAGGCAACAGTTTCCACAGGAAAAGTTTTTCCAATTATAGTTTTTGAGGAACAAAAAGAAAGAGAAGTTGTCTTCACACCTTTCTTGTTTTGGAGCCCTGCTCTGGACCACACCATGAACCTGAAGCAATGTCACAACCTCTGCTCTTACACAAGTGTGAGTCATCTCTAGAAATCACAGAGTGAGATGGGACTATATAAGCCATCGTGACTCACCCCAGCTCAGCATAGGGAAGATAAATCTTTCATCTATTAAGAATCATAGTACAGGTAGTCGACTTACAACGATTCGTTTAGTGACTGTTTGAAGTTACAATGGACGTGAAAAAAGTGATTCGTGGCTATTTTTTTCACATTTACAACTGCTTCATCGTTCCCATGGTCATGTGATCAAAATTCAGATGCTTGGCCACTAGCTCACATTTATGACGGTGGCACTTTCCCGGGGTCACGTGATCCCCTTTTGCGACCTTCTGACAAGCAAAATCAACGGGGAAGCCAGATTCACTTAACAACCGGGTTACTAACTTGACAATTGCCTTGATTCACTTAAAAACTGTGGCAAGAAAGGTCGTAAATGGGGTGAAGCCCACTTAACAAATGTCTTGCTTAAGCAACATAAACTTTTGGGCTCAATTATGGTCGTTGGGGGCTATATGTAGTGTGATGCTGGATGAAGCTAAAGCCTTCGAGACCAACATCTAAACCCACTCAGAGGTCCCAGAGAACTCACAAGTTAGATGTACCATTAGGTCTTTCTCCCTCTGCAACTCTTTGCTCTCCGATCGAAAAGAATAGCAATAGCCCTTAGACTTATATACCGCTTCACAGTGCTTTACATCTCACTCTAAGCGGTTTACAGAGTCAGCATATTGCCCCCAATAATCTGGGTCCTCATTTTACCCAGCTCGGAAGGATGGAAGGCTGAACCTTGAGCCTGGTAAGATTCAAACTGCTAAATTGCATGCAGCCGGCAGTCAGCAGAAATAGCTTGCAGTACTGCACTCTAACCACTGCGCCACCGTGGCTCATACCCCTAGTCCTCAACGTACGAGCACGTTGGGGACCAGAATTTTTGTGGCTAAGCAAGACCGTTGTAAAGTGATTCGTGCCCCGTTTTACAACCTGTCTTGTCACAATGTTATGCGAATCACAGCAGCAAATCACCCCAGCTGTTAAGCAAATCCAGCTTCCTCCATTGACTTTGCTCATCCGAAACCGGCTGGAAAGATCATTGATGGGGATCATATCACCCCAGGATGTTCCAATTGTTGCAAATACATGCCAATTGCCAAGCACCTGAATTTTGATCACACGAATGTGGGAGGGTGCCGTAATGGTCACAACTGTGAGAACCGGTCGCAAGTCACTTTTTTTCCAATGCCATTGCCACTTTGGACAGTTGCAGAACAAATGGCTTTAAGTGTGTAATAGCTATCATGGCAGAATCTCCAACCAATGATATTGGGAAATGGCTGACCGATAGATACAGATTAACAGAGTTGGAAGGGACCTTGTAGATCATCTAGTCCACCCCACCCCCCACACCAAGCAGGAGATCCTACACCATTTCTAACAGATGGCAGTCCAGTCTCTTCTTGAAAGCTTCCAGTGATGAAGCTCCCACAACTTCTGAAGGCAACCTCTGTTCCATTGGTTGATTGTTCTCACTGTCAGAAAATTTCTCCTCATTTCCAGGTTGAATCTCTCCTTGTTCAGTTTCCATCCATTATTCGTTGTCTGGCCTTCAGGTGCTTTGGAGAATAGGTTGACCTCCTCTTCTTTGTGGCAGCCCCTCAAATATTGGAAGACTGCTATCATGTCTCCCCTAATCCTTCTCTTCACTAGACCAGCCATGCCCAGTTCCTGCAACCCTTCATCGTATGTTTTAGCCTCCAGTTCCCTAATCATCCTGGTTGCTCTTTTTTGCACTCTTTCTAGAATCTCAATATCTTTTTTATAGTGTGGTGACCAAAATTACATGCAGTATTCTAGGTGTGGTTTTACTAAGGCTTTATAGCTCCCCAAGACGAATGCAGGTTGTAACCTAAAAGGACAGAGGGTCCAAAGAGCTGAGAGATACTTACTACTTTGTTCCTTAATTTGCCGTTCCAGCTGTTGGCAAGTCCGCGTTAAATCTGTATTTCTATCCCGGAGGCTTCCTTGCTCGGCAACGCTTTCTTCTAGCTTCTTCTGTAAAGACCCTACTTCCTCGTGAGCAGCGTGAAAGTCACTCTCGCGATCCTTAACCTTAAAGAAAGCAGCAATGGCAGGTCAACACAAGTTTCCGGCATCAAATGCTGCAAAATGTGCTCTGTCTTAAAGCCCCTTTGAGCAGCTTCAAAAAAGAGACCAAAAACACATTTCTTCTCTTTCCGGAAGCCATGAACTCTTTGTGCTTCTGCATTTTTGAGGGACAGGTTCTGCTTGTTGGTGTGCACCAAGCGTTGTTTTCCTGTGCAGAACACAAGAAGTTGTCACCCGCCTCCCCTGCCCCCCCCAGCTTAGCTTTGACTTCCTCCGCAATCACATTTCTGCAAGTTCCAGATGAGCAACACCAGTTCTGCTTTTGTTAAACCAAGCGGCCTACAGCTGGCCACTATAAAGCTCTTTCTCCCCAATATTTTACAGAAGGAAACTGAGCCTCCGTGGGGAAGGCAGCCTCGACATACCAAAAGGAATAATGCAAGCAGTCACTTCACCAGGATTGCACCTTAAAACTTCATAATAATCAACATTTCAAAGCAGCTCAGCAGCTGGAAGAAGAGAAGAGAAGAGAAGAGAAGAGAAGAGAAGAGAAGAGAAGAGAAGAGAAGAGAAGAGAAGAGAAGAGAAGAGAAGAGAAGATATGGAGTGGAGTGGGAGAGGAGAGAAGAGAATATATGGAGTGGAGTGGGAGAGGAGAGGAGAGGAGGAGAACAGAACAGAACAAAAGAAAACAAAAGAAAACAAAACAATGAAAAACCTCTGTAGCTCGACTTACAACTACAGTTAAGCCCAACATTTCTGTTGCTAAGCAAGACAGTTGTTAAGTGAGTTTTGCTCCATTTTACAACCTTTCTTGCCACCATTGTTAAGTAAATCACTGCATTGATTAATTTATTTAATCTGACTTCCCCCTTGATTTTGCTTGTCAGAAGGTCGCCTGGGATCACATGACCCCAGGACACTGCAAACTGTCATAAATATGAGCCAGTTTGCAAGATTCCAAATTTTTGATCACGTGACCATGGGGATGCTGTAATGGTTATGAGTGAGAAAAACAATCCTAAATCAATAAGGCACACAGGATTCATGGATACACTGAATGTCTGGGCTCACACTACTTCACACTTTGGCATCTCCAATGATTGTTCCATTTTTTAAAAATAAATTAAAGACATAAAAGTACAATGTAGGAACACCTACCATCTTCCCAGCTTCCTCTAATTGGTCAGTTAGCTCTTGCAGTTTCAATCTTAAGACGTCTGCTTCTGCCAAAGCATCTTCTTTGAGCTGTTTGGTGGACTGGATCTCGTGCTGTCTGTTAAGGTATTAAGCAAAACACCGAAAACAACGTACAGCAATGTTATTCTTTTTTTATAAAAGATTTTTTTTTATTTTTCTCATAAACATACTTAAATGTACAGTCCATTATTAATCATACGTATTACCTTTTAACTTTTGTATCAGTTCATTCTTCATCCTAAAAAAATTAGGGTATACTCGGGGTTGCTCTTCTATCATTCCATCTCCCTTATTTTAGAACAACCCTTCCTCTCCTTCTCCCCTCTTTCCCTTCCCTCCCTTCTTCTATCCTTTTCTACTTTCTTCCTTCCTCCTCTCCTTCCCCTTCCTTTCCCCCACTCCTCCCCTCTTCCTCCCTTTCTAACCCTCTCTCCTACTCTTATTTCCCCTCCCTTTCTTCCTCTCCTTTTCCCTTTCTTTTGTCCCTCTCTCTCTTTTCCTCTCTTCTCTTCTCCTCTCCTATCTATCCCTCTTAATCGTCTCTCCATTCCCTCTCCATTGTTGTATTTATTTTCAATTCAACATATTTTCAAAATGGTATTCGAGCAACCCCAATTTTCTATTTACATACATTTTCCTTTCAGTTTCTTTTCTATTTTGTACAGCAATGTTATTTGACGCTGGATTACTCTCTCCAAGTTTGCAAGTGATTCTCTGTAAGGGCAACTTGCGATTCCTGTAAATCCTTGACAGAATCCCGTCTTCTTTGTGGCAGCCCCTGAGATAGTGAACTGTTTTCATTAAACTAGACATACCCAATTCTTAAAAGTTGGCAAAGTTAGACATCCCTGGTGTAGGTGAGGGACTTGACTTCAACTCCCAGAATTCCCCAGCCAACATGCTGGCAGGGGAATTCTGGGAGGAGAAGTCCACAAGTCTTAAGGTTGCCAAAATTGGATATCCTTGACCTACACCCTCTTACCTCCTACAGAAATGTATCATGTGAGTATTATGGGCTACCAATCCTCTTTGGGTTTAGCCTTATGGAGATGTTATCACATGGCAACCCAAACTGAGAGTGTTATCCACTGAACTGTAAGGAATTTGCAACTGAATAGATACAGAAACCATACACTCTATACAATGAAGGAGAACCACCTGGACAAAAGCGTTTTCTTTAAATGTAGCTGTTCTGTTCTCATCCTCCGCATGTTTCCTGCCATTTTAACGAGCTCCTTATCCAGGGATTCCTTCTGAGCTTCCAAAAAATTTAGTTTCTGAAGCCATTGGGTTCTTTTATTCTGCAGAGTTTTCTTAAGGTCCTGTGTGGATGTCAACATAAGTATCTTTAGAGCATAGCGATCTCTTGGTTGAATTAAGCTCACAACTCTACCATCTTGCATTCCACATCCATCACACACACATATAAAACACCACGTGCTTACAGGCTGCTTGGGGACTTGGACAACTTTGGAGGTGGGGGTTTAGGGGTGGGGTATAGTTTTAATCAGGAGCCAACTTCATGAGGCTACACTACACTACACCATGGTTCTTTCTTTTCCAAGAAATACAGAAGAGTAGCTAAGGAGCCCTAGTGGTGTAATGGTTAAAAGCAATATTGAAGCCTAACGCTGGCCACAGATTGGAGTTCGATCCTGACCGGCTCAAGGTTGACTCAACTTTCTCTCCTTCCAAGGTTGGTAAAATGAGGACCCAGATTGTAAACCACCCAGAGTGCGCTGTAAAGCACTATGGAGTAGTATATAAATCTATTGTTATGTTGGAGTGGGGATTATCTTCAATTGCACTCATATTATTGCTCCTTGCTATTGTCCGTTCGATAAGGCAACACCAGTGTTTTTGTTATAAACTAAAATCACCTTAACAAAAATCAATATTTTTGTTCATATTCCGAGACCCAAATAAAGCCTGATTGTTTGGTTCACACAACAAGCGAAGACAAGGTTATCATAGGGTTAGGGCAGGGGTAGGATCTTACTGGTTTAACAACCGGTTCGCTGAGTTTGTAGAAAATCAAACTTCCGGGTTGCTGAGAGCAAGGAAAACAGCTGAGGAGTGGCAATACACTCTCCTGCCCCAATCAGCTGGGTTTTGGAAGCAGAAATATAGGTGAGTATAACGCAGGGGCAGGTGGGTGGGCCCATTTCATAGAATGAGAGAACTGGTTTGCTCACGGCTGAAAGTCGGAGCTAACGGTTCGCACGAACCGGTGCGAACCGGTAGAAATTCACCACTGGGTTAGGGTTATCATAGTACGGTTCTACTAGGATTGCAATTATGACCAGGATTCTACCAGAAACTGTCCCATTCTATTTCACTAAGGTGATTTATGGACCATCAAGGCTTTCTCTCCTCAGATCCTTAAAAGTGCTTTGGTGGAATCCTGACTATAACTATAAACCATGGAAGTGATCCTGCTGCTTCAGAAATTCTGAGAACAAGGAGGAAGAATCAATGCTAGATGCCAAGCTGCTGTAGGCCCTCCTGTTAACAGAAACCTCCACAACCAGTTCGGGCGAACTGGTAGTTACATTGCTGGCTGGCCCCGCCCCTTCCTGCCCCGCCCCTTGTAGGAATCCCCATGCGCCCCATTTTGGCTCCCAAGCAAGTGCACGGAGGCCTCCTAGGTCCAAAACTGGACGTGGGGGCCAGTGCCCCCCCGCAGCCCATTTTTGCTTCCAGGCAGCTTCAGGGAGGCTTCCTAGGCCCGTTTACACTTCCCAGGTGGCTTCAGGGAGGCCTCCTAGGCCCGTTTTTGCTCCCAGGGAGATACAGGAGGCCGAGTGCTGCCTGTCACATCCCCGGCCACGGCCACCATGGCCACGCCCACCCATTCGGTCATTAGGGCAGAGAACCGGTTGTTAAATTATTTGAATCCCACCACTGCCCACAACATTAGCACCTCCAGAAAGGAAAAATAGAGAAAAATAATCTAAAAACAGATTGGAGCTTTGGCAGTTGAAAGGAACATCTTTCAATTCTGTCTTTGCCTATTTTCTCTGATCTACTGAGAAGGAGCTGCAAATGGTAGCCATCAGGCTACCATTCCCCTTAGAGGACCCAAAGTTGTGAGGCAAAAATATTTACCACAGAATCCCAGATATAAAACGTTCTGATAGCTGCAACTGCATGTTTGCTGGGAATTCATATTCCAATACATTTGAAGGGTGCCAGATTAATGAAAGTTGAGCCAATGCTTACAAGGGAAGTTATCATCGGGGAAGATAACCTAAGAGCATGCTTGCCTGCCATTCAAGGGTTATTTACCACCAAGGTCTTCTGATAAGTTTCTTGCAGATCCAATTCACAGTCTGTTGGGTTCAGCAAAGGTAGCCCTGCTAAATCTTCAACTTGAGAAAGTTCTTCTCGCTGCAAAGAAAGAGTGAGATCATTGTTTATATTTGAGAACGTGGGAAACATCTGAAGGTATCATAAAAGAGTCATTGGACTGAAAGGGGTCCTGGACCTTGGGGTAAAAGTTGTCTTTATACACCCCTGCTTTGAGTTGGGAATAGCACATTTTTTGGTTGTTGTCGTGTCTGTCTCTTCACAACGCCATGGATCACAGCACACCAAACCCCCGTCTTCCACATGGAGTCTTCATTTACTTATTCTGGTGTTATGTCTCCAATCCAAAGAACAAACAATACAGAGTAATATGAAACTGTAAAGCAATTGTAGGATTTGAGTCATTTGAACCCATTGTTCTCTTTTCTGTTATCTGTCTGTCCCCACTATGCTTTTTCAAGACAGAACGTAGGATACAACAGGTATAGCTGAGATTATTTTAGATTATTTTGGTAGTTATTTTAGATGTTTTTTCTACTACACTTCAGCTTGCAAAACAAACAACAAATATTTTTAAAGAAATGCATTCAGGTACCTGAGAGAACAATAACAAAAGAACTTTAATATTTAAAAGCAGAAGAATAAGGATGTATTCAGTAGGCCTCTCTGGAGGGGGAATTCTATAATGTTATCAGCACCCCAGTATTACCTTAACGGAATGGAATGGAAAGGACTTAATGGAATGGAATGGAATGGAATGGAATGGAATGGAATGGAATGGTGTTTTGTTTTGTTTTGTTTTGCTTTGGTTTTGGTTTTGTTTTGTTTTGTTTTGTGATGGAACGGAATAGAATATGGAATGGAATGGAATGGAATGGAATGGAAAGGATTGAATGTAATATAATGGGATGGAATGGAATGGAATGGAATGGAACGGAACGGAACAGAACGGAACGGAATGGAATATGGAACAGAATGGAATATGGAACGGAATGGAAAGGATTTAATGGAATGTAATGGAATGTAATGGAATGGAACGGAATGGAACGGAATCGAATAGAATGGAACGGAATAAGGAATGGAATGGAAAGGATGTAATGTAATGTAATGGAATGGAATGGAATATGGAAAGGAATGGAATGGCTGGAACTCTTAGAACAGAACATTTATATGCTATATTTTTTTTTATAATCTGGACACAACTAGCAGTATTGATAAGTGAGAAGAACCTAGATGTTGTGTTACCCAAATAGGAGGAAAGGCAGCAAAAAAATAAATAAATCTTGTTGGATTTAGCAAACATTTAAACCAAGTTTTTTCAAGTCTGGTTTTTCTCATTATCCTCATCCACCATGTTCCATTTACCAGGTTTAAAACGGTGGCCTTGAACTTTTCTCCTACTCGCTCTGGCCCTTCAAGAAGCAGTAAAACTTCTCTGTCCAGTGATTCATCAAGCGCTGTCCACTCAATTCCAGGGATCTTAATGAGAAAAAGTAATTTGAAAAAGTCACATTATACTCCTGAGCTGGAACATGGCCTATACACTACACTGAACATTTGCTTCTCAGTTAAGCTGAAAAAAAGCAGAAAAGATCTTAGAAGCTACTCATGCACTTCAAAGAAACTTTCCTCAAACTTGTTTCTTGCACTATTCCTAATGTGTCTCGGATGTTATGAAAGCTCTAAAGGTCTAACAATGGGATAAGTAGAGATAGTCCTTGACTTACGGCCAAAATTGAGCCCAAAATTTCTGATGCTAAGTGAGACATTTCTTAAGTGAGTTTTGCCCCATTTTATGACCTTTCTTGCCACAATTGTTAAGCAAATCACTGCAGTTGTTAAGTTAGTGACACGGTTGTGAAGTTGAGAATCTGGCTTCCCCCCACTGACTTTGCCGGAAATCGCAAAAGCTGATCACCTGACCCCAGGACACTGTTAACTATCATAAATATGGATCAGTTGCCGAGCGCCTGAATTTCGAATCACGTAGCCGTGGGGATGTTGAAATGGTTATAAGTGTGAAGAACAGTCATAAATCACTTTTTCCAGTGCTATTGTGTCAACTTTGAACAGTCACTAAATGAACAGTTGTAAGTCAAGGACTTCTGTGTACAACACAGAAGCATAGATCAAGATTCTTTCCTTCCCCCTAGGGATCCCACGCCTGGATTAGCCATAGGAGTTAAAAATTCTCACAACAAGTGCTCCTAAGAATTTTATATCATTTAATCTTCTCATCCTTTGAAAGACACTTGGTGTCACTCACTCTGTCAAGGACCTTGGAGTACTCATTTCAAAAGATCTAAGCCCCAGAGCTCACTATAACAGCATTGCCAAAAAGGCATTAAGAGTTGTTAACCTAATCTTGTGAAGCTTCTTCTCTGGTAATATTGTATTGCAAACTAGGGCATATAAAACCTTTGCTAGACCAATTCTCGAATACAGCTCATCTGTCTGGAACCCGCACTGTATATCTGACATTAATACAATTGAGCAAGTCCAGAGATATTTCACAAGAAGAGTCCTCCATTCCTCTGCTCGCAACAGAATACCTTATGCCACCAGACTTGAAAGTTTGGGCTTAGACAACTTAGAACTATGTAGCCTACGGTCTGACCTAAGCGTAGTACAAAAAATTGTTTGCTACAACGTCCTACCTGTCAATGACTACTTCAGCTTCAACCGCAATAATACACGAGCACACAATAGATACAAACTTACGGTAAACCGCTCCAAACTCGATTGCAGGAAATATGACTTCAGCAACAGAGTGGGCAGTGCCTGGAACTCACTACACCTGACTCTGTTGTTACATCCTCAAACCCCCAAAACTTTAACCTTAAACTGTCTACCGTGGACCTCACCCCATTCCTAAGAGGTCCGTAAGGGGGCGTGCATAAACGCACCAGCGTGCCTACCGTCCCTGTCCTACTGTCCCCATTTATTTGTACTCATTTATTATGTATATACTTATACCTGTTTATACTTATATGTTTATATGTTATGTTTATACTTATACTTGTTTTCTCATACATGCTTGACAAACTAAATAAATGAAATAAAATAAACATTTCTGACCTCTGATGGTTCCTGGGCTAGTTCCAGTTCACAGTGCAGTGAATTGGTTGCTTCCAGGAAGCTGCTGTTGAACTTGTAGATTAAGGGGAAGTTGATACCATTCCTAGCAAAAATATATATATATATACATATAGACATTTAAAAAGTTCGAAGATTTTGAGCTCAGAAACACCATCACAATCTGCATCGTTTTTTCATGGCTTCCCAAAATACTCACGAGATCAGTTCTTGCTGCATCTGCTGAACGTTGTTCAACAATTTATTTTTCTCTACACGCAGAGTCTACAGTTGGGAATAAAAAAACCTGTTTAGAACAGGTCCTATAACCAAGAAACAAGCAAGCCTTTACCTTCTTCTCATTTCCCCCAAAAAGTATCGTAACATTACCTCTATCACCGATGTGTATTCCTTCAAGGCAGACTTTAGTTCTTGTAGATCCTGCTCCTTCTGCAATGATCGAAGAGGAAGAGTGAAGTAGTTACACCAGGTTGTGTCTTCACTAACCACGCTTTAATAACTAAACAAATCCCTAATTGGCTTTACCCAGTACACCAAACTTATGATTTCTAAACTACGATTAAGCCACACACAGGCTTATTTATTTATATGTCCCATTTCTAAACCACCCATCTCCCTCAAAGGAGGACTCTTTAGCATAATGTGTAAACTCAAAGTCAGAATAACTACACTGCAGCTGGTCCGTATAAAAGTAGCCCTGACTTGTAACAGTTCATTTAGTGACCAAACCTGGCATTGGAAAAACTGACTTATGACCATGTTTCACATTTATGACTGTTGTAATATCCCCATGATCACATGATTAAAATTCAGACACTTGCCAATTGACTCATATTTATGACGGTTGCAGTGTCCTAGGATCATGTCATCACCTTTTGGGACCTTCTGACAAACAAATGGGAGAGGCAGATTCACTTAACAACCATGTTATTAATTTAACAACTGCAGAGATTCACCTAACAATGGTGACAAGTTGGGGCAAAACTCATTTAACAACTGTCTTGCTTAGCAACGGATAGTTGGGGTCGTACGTCAAGGACTACCCAGTATTGGGGTTTGTTTCCCTTAAAATGCTAACTGAACCAATTTCTCACCCACGCTAGCTAAAAAGGGCAGGATGGTACTTATAAAGAAATGATGAAGGTTTAAACCTTTCCCTAGGTGCTTAGCCACAATTACAGGTAGTCCTCAACTTACAACCAAAGTTGGGACCAGAACACTGGTCATCAGTCATTGAGGTCGTAAATCAAAGCACTCATATGACCGGGGGTTTTCAATAGTTTTCATGACGGTTGTTAATTGAATGAGGCATGCCATTAAGCAAATCTATTTTTCCAAAATGGGGATGGCAAACAACATCACAAATTGTGGTAACATGACCATGGGACACTGCAACCGGTTGTAAACCGAGCTGGTTTGCCAAGTGCCTTGAAATGCAATCATGTGAACGGGGAGTAAAAAGACAAATCTTCCTCCTCTTTGTACCATTAACATCCAATAATCAGATATACAGTTGATTCTGAGTAGGATAACTCTTATCATCTATTGCAGTGATGGCGAACCTTTTGGGCATCGAGTGCCCAAACCGGAACGTGTATGCATGTGCGTGCATATGTGCGTGCCGGAGCACCGGAAACCCGAAGACCAGTTGGCCGGCACACCCATGCCTGGGCCGTTTTCAGGCTGTTTTTGACCTGGAAAATGGGGCGAAAAACAGGGCGAAAAAGGCCCCAAAATGGGCTGGAAAAACTGTGTTTTTCGACCATGTTTTGGGCCATTTTTAGGCCATTTTCCAGTGTTTCGGCGCCCGCAAAGACCAGCTGGCCGGCACCGGAAACCAGAAGAGCAGCTGGCGATGGTGCACGTGCCCATGGAGAAGGCTCTGCGTGCCACCTCTGGCACGCAGGCCATCGGTTCGCCATCACGGACCTATCGCCTCCATATTCAGTATAAGAATAGGAAATAGACATGTGATTGGAGTGCAGGTGAGATACAGGTAAAAATGGAATGATGCATCATCGTTGCAAAACGGGATTGTAAAATAGATACCATCCCAAGCAGGGTTAATGGTGTTTGGTTACTTGTTTTTACATCCATTCAAATTAGCTGCAGGTGTTTGGAAGAAAGGGAAAACAAATGTATGCAAAGCAGAGGCTTTGACAACAAAGGCTTTTTGGAGAAAATTGTACACAAATACAGGCTGTTCTAAGCCCAGGTTTGCATAGTTGTCCGATGCAATTCCAGGGATCAAGCCCCAAACCGGAATATAGATTGCCGGTATCTATTGCAACAACCTGGGTCATTTCTCTGTCTGGTTTGCATTACATTTCGGTGCATGAGTTGTCAATTCATATTTGGGCTCCGAGCAGACATGCCTAACTAACTGTAGGAGGAGGAAAGGAGTAACAGCAGATAGGAAATGAGCAGCTCTGTAAATTAGATATAGATAAATAGTATAGAATTCTACCTAACCACACACAGGAGCCTGAGTGGCGTAGAAGGCTAATGCCTCCTAAGGCAGCATTTAACATCCAGCTGCCTGTAATTACTGCCAGTTCAAATCTCACCAGGCTCAAGGTTGACTCAGCCTTCCATCCTTTCTAAGGTGGGTAAATTGAGGACCCAGTTTGTGGGGGCAATAAGCTGACTTTGTATAAATATACAAAAGTATGAAGGCTATTGCTTAACGCATTGTAAGCCGCCCTGGGTCTCCGGAGAAGGGCGGCATATAAATCAAATTAAAAAAACAAAAACAAAACTATTTTAGGTACTCCTTTCCTGTTGTAGAAAGCTAGTATCCACCCCTCTCCTAGAAGAAAGAAATATTTTGAGAAATGTTTAAAAAAGGCAGGATAAAATATTTCCCCTAAAAGAGAAATAAAAATCCTAAGGGAGACAGAAACTCAGAGCCCCAGCTCCCTGCCCCCACGCAGATACTAAGCTAAGGCCAGCTTTTAGAAATGCAGATTTGGTAATCCATTACTCTCTGCAGCAAGGTCTGAACAAATGTAGGATTAGCCCTCAGTCATCATCATCATCATCATCATCATCATCATCATCATCATCATCATCATCATCATCATAATTTTATTTCTATACCGCCCTTCTCCCGAAGGACTCAGGGCGGTGTACAGCCTATTTAAAAACACAGACAAAACAATGATATAAAATTTAAAATAATTAAATAAGTGGCTCAAATTTAAAACCCCAATAAATTTAAATACCCCAATTTAAAACTATTGTGTTGATAGTCCGGCCTGGCGGAACAACAGGGTCTTCAATGCGCAGCGAAACACCCGGAGGTCGGAGATCTTACGAATTTCCGGGGGCAGTTCATTCCACAGGGCTGGGGCTCCCACAGAGAAGGCCCTCCCCCTGGGCGTCGCCAGCCAACATAACTTGGCTGATGGCACCCTGAGGAGGCCCTCTCTGTGGGAACGAACTGGTCGGTGGGAGGCTATTGGTGGCAGAAGACGGTCTCGGAGGTACCCGGGTCCTATGCCATGGAGCGCTTTAAAGGTGGTAACCAACACCTTGAATCGCACCCGGAAGACCACCGGGAGCCAGTGCAGCTCGCGCAGGAGGGGTGTCACATGGGCATAACGGGTTGCGCCCATAACCATTCTGGACCAGCTGGAGCCTCCGAGTGCTCTTCAAGGGGAGCCCCATGTAGAGAGCATTACAATAGTCCAACCGGGAGGTGACAAGGGCATGAGTGACCGTGCGCAAGGCGTCCCGGTCCAGAAAGGGCTGCAACTGGCGAATCAGGCGAACCTGATAAAAGGCCCCCCTGGCCACGGCCGTCATGTGCTCTTCTAATAGGAATTGCCCAACAAGCCCCTTCATTGCATCAGCCAAACTTCAACCAAACTTGATTCAGACAAATATGGCCCCATGGGAGTCTGACAACAGCCAATAGAATACATGCTCTTGCACAGGAACAGGAAGTTCAAGTGCAAAGCCCGAGAAGGTATAAATACCCCTCCATGTGGTCAGCTACCCAGAATCACACATGCTTGGTGGTTCTGCTTCATCATTAAACTCTTTTTCCAATCAGCCTCCAAGGTTTCCAGTGCCTTTCTCCCGGCTTGGAACTGAACCAGATGGATATTTCTTCCAACACTGTTAATCTTTCAATTTTCTCTCTCTTTTCATCCTAACATCTGTTCCATGATCACTGGATCAGCTCAGTCCTCAGCCCAAAGCTGTTCATCATCTAAATGCCCTCTCATAAATACTTCATGTGAGATGCCTCTAGCCCTAGGTATGGCTGCCAATTAATTAATAGTTTACTTCTGGGGATGAATTATCCCATTTTCACTGCCTGAAGTACACAAACCAACCTCAGAGTCCCAGAACTGTGTGGATCTTCCTTCCTTCCTCCCTTCCTCCCCCCCACTCTCTTTTTTCCCCCCTCTCTCTCCTCTCCTCTTTCTCTCTCCCACTCCCTCCCTCTCCATTTGCTTAGTAACTATTCAAAGTTACAAAGGCACTCAAAAAAGTGACATGAATTATGATCATTTTTCACACAATCATTGCAGCATCCCCATGGTCACATGATCAAAATTCAGACTCTTGGGAACTGACTCCTATTTATGACGGGTGCAATGTCCCGGGGTCATGTGATCACCTTTTGCGACCCTCCAACAAACAAAATCAATGGGGGAAGCCAGATTCATTTTATAAGCGTCTTACTAACTTAACAACTTTAGTGATTCACTTAAATGGGGAAAACTCACTTAACAACTGTCTTTCCTAGCAGTGGAAATGTTGGGCTCAATTGTGGTCATAAGTCAAGGCCCATCTGCCATAGTTTTTAACACATCGTTGTTTGGAAGTCTCTTATTTCAGATGTTGATTTTATTTCAATGTTCTAGGGTTTTTTTTCACCTCCTGTTGTGCTGTGTACATTGATTATTTGAGGATTTATGCCCTTTTCATTTGTTCTAAGCAGCGATGGATATTATGTAAATGTAGAAACAAGTAGCTATCGCATTCCACAAACATATGCATTGCAAATGTCTGGTATGCAAAACCAGAACAGTACAGACCATCCGGTACTAATTGACTTCATCCCAAACTCTTACACAGCTGTTTTTACACCCACCAACTATAATACAGTGAGAATCAGTCAATGGCCTATAGAGCAGGGGTGAATTCCAGCAGGTTCTGACAGGTTCTGCAGAACTGGTAGCGGAAATTTTGAGTAGTTCGGAGAACCGATAGCAGAAATTTTGAATAGTTCAGAGAACCAGCAAATACCACCTCTGGCTGGCCCCCGAGTGGGGTGGGAATGGAGATTTTGCAATATCCTTCCCCCAGGAGTAGGGTGGGAATGGAGATTTTACTGTATCCTTCCCTGCCACGCCCACCAAGCCACACCATGCCTACCAAGCCACGCCCGCAGAACCGGTAGTAAAAGAATTTGGATTTCACCACTGCTATAGAGCAATATCTAAACCATTTCCATAAGAATATATTCCTCTTAATCCCATAAGGTAGTCCTTGTTTAATTATGCCAATTGGGATCTAAAACTTCTTCATTAAGTGACACAGTTAAGTCACAGCCAACCTTTTGAAAATTAAACCAGGCTAGAAATTCTTCAATGCAATCCGAATACCTGACTCTGTTATATCCTCAAACCCCCATAACTTTAACCTTAAACTGTCTACTTTGACCTCACCCCATTCTTAAGAGGTCTGTAAGGGGGCAGGCATAAGTGCACCAGCGTGCCTTCTGTCCCTGTCCTAATATCCCCATTTATTTGTACCCATTTCCTGTGTTCATATCCATGTTTATACTTATACCTGTTAACTCGTACGTTTGACAAACTAACTAACTAACTAGATGAATGAATGAATAAAATAAATCTAGTACCCACGAACCTTAAGGAGTACTATGTCTTTACTTCTCACTGTGCTTTCATAAAGGTGTGTTTGTATCTGGGAAAAGAAGAACAATAACCCACAATGAAATTGCATTCTAGCACAAAGAAACGATACTAAAATTATTTTATTTCTCTTTTCCCTCACTTTGGGGATTTTTTTTCCCTAAGATGTAACAGAAGAATTGCCTTGTTATTTGTTATGGCTCTTATTATAAATTCTAATCAATGCATCAAATGATAACTGCTAAGGAATTTGCAGAGTAACCCTTGAATAGCAAGGGTGTGTACATGAAAGCGATTGAGAGTAGGTATGAAAAAACACAGTCAACACACAGATACACTGTTATGTTTACTTTCAGGAAATATTAAGGCACAGTCCAATAAACAATCCAGGTCATACACATATAAAGCAGGAGATAGCAAAACGACAGTCCAGGGATAATCCAATAACAAAGTCTTCTTACCAGTCGTCGTAGTCATTCACAATAAACAGTTCTTCTGGATTTGCAAACAGTAGCATACAGAGATATCAGAGAGCAAGAACAGCAAAGAGAAACAAACCATGTTTCTAGCTCCCTCTTAAGGAGATTGGCTACAGAGCTAACCAATCAGGACACAGTATGATGCAATACAGCAGTCTTAAAGCTATATTGACGGTTTATATATTGCCAACCCAACAAGGTAGGTAATACTCATTTCCTAACAATAACCTCACTGAAGGTTATGAACTACTGTATAATCTACCATATTAGTCCAGTATGGGTTGATTGGAATAATTTTTTCCATTTCCTAATCTGGGTCCCAAAGTCACCAGAACATTTTTGTGAAGGAAATCTAGGACCTGTATCATTTGTAGCCCAGCACTTTCACTAACCACACCTCGCTGGCTTCTAAGTTTTTTATTTGTTGTTTTTAAGCGTATGGCGATGTTACATTAGTCAGGAGACTACAAGGCTAATGCAGAGTTGCAGTTTGGCTGCTTGTTTACTAGCAATGTTCGATTCATGCTCATGTGCTTCCCAAGGTCCACCACAAGAAGGAGAGCTAGTTCCACACCAAAAAGAATAACAACCGGCTTTCCTGCACTGTCATCCAGAGCCCTCTCCCTCCACCGAAGCCACTTCACAAAGAGCGTTGCAACCAGGAAGGTTCAGCACTACCAGGATTCTAACTGTCCGCACAAAGTGCTGGCTCGTCTCCCCACCCAAGTGGTACCTATTTATCTAGTCGCATAAAACATGCTTTCGAACTGCTAGGTAGGCAGAAACTGAGGTGAGGGATGGGAAATCACCCTGCCACGCAATGCTAGGACTTGAACCGCTGGAGCAAAAATCATCATTAAGTCACTGGACCTCTCTGGCTTCTGGGTTGAGAGAGAGGGAGACTGGGCCCAAAATTACTCGGTGAATTTCCATGCCTGGTTATGTGCATCACATTAAAAATCAAGAGACCACACTACCCCGACCACCATCTTGTCTGTTTTGGTAAGCACTTGCAGAAGGGAACACATAAATACTGGTTCCAATAGTAAGGTACGCACTGCCTGCAGTGTTTGTACGCACAAACTGAAGCACCAGAAAAATGAGTGTAAATAAATAATTGGCGGGAGAAATCAAAGGAAAGCCTTCAAAGCATCAGTGTGTTTTAAAGGATAGGCACATGTTAACAGTTTAAAGCTCACACCAATATGCTTTGCAAAATCTTACATGCTCTAATAAGCTATATTACTGTATTTTTCGGAGTATAAGACGCTCTGATCTATAAGACGCACCTACCTTTTTTGGGGAGGAAAACAAGAAAAAAAAAATCTGCCTCTGCCTCTGCCTAGCAGCAATTTGCCTCCTTGCAGCAAACAGCAAACAGCCTGCTTTAGTTTCACTTTCATTTTCAGCACAGTCTGATTAGCACAAGAAAAAAAATCTGCCTCTGCCTCTGCCTCCCAGCAATTTGCCTCCTTGCAGCAAACAGCAGACATCCTGCTTTAGTTTCATTTTCATTTTCATCACAGCCTAATTAGCACAAGAAAAACATATCTGCCTCCCAGCAATTTGCCTCCTTGCAGCAAACAACGGAGGCCCGCGGCAATAGGCAATGGCAATCCCTGCAGCCTGGAAACAGCTGAGGGTCGGGAGGCCAATCCAACCGACAATCAACTGCTTATGCTAATCAGGCTGTGCTGAAGCTAAAACGGGCTGTTTGCTGTTTGCTACAAGGAGGTAAATTGCTGGGAGGCAGAGACCAAAGGGTAGGGGCCAGTGGGTGGGCGGGGCTACATTCGGTGTATAAGACGCACCCAAATTTTCACCCTCTTTTAGGGGAGGGAAAAGTGCATCTTATACTCCAAAAAATACGGTATGTTCTATGCTGATGCCCATTTTGTGCAGAAAAATGCTGAAGAATCTTAACAAGAATATCCTCAAAATAATTAAATATCTCAGAACTGACCAAGAATTTGTGGGATAAAGTTCTTATTGTTAAGAAAATGATAATAATCTCTTGACTTAATTATATCATACACATCTCAAGTTATGGAGACAGAAAGATCCTACCATCATTAACGTTCTCATCTGTTATTCAGACATGGAACATTTGCTAAGTGAGATCTAACTATAATGCAGAATTTGAGTTTCAGCTCAAATTCCTCTTTAAAATGTAATTTAAGGGACAGAATCTCCATGGTTACATGTTGCTTTTTGAAGGTTCTCTGATATTCGTCCACCAACTTACAAATGTAAATAATACAGATCCACTTTTAGTTTTAACTGTGGATTGTCATATTTTGGTTAAGGCTACGATCTCTGATCATTCCAAAGCCAGTGTAACTAGTGATTAGGCATGTTGGGTTCTATAATGCAACATAACTGGAAATCCAAGAGTAGGAATTAGTGCGTTTGCTTTAGAAAATAATTGATTTCATTATCTTGATTATGGATACTTGGAACATTTCAAATATCTGAAGCATTGAACTGAATCTCTGCCACCTCACACTGAAACAAAATGCAGGAGTCACACTTACTTGGAGTTCGCTAATATTCTGGGACAGCTCCTCAATCTTCTTCTGGAGACCATCTGAATCAAGAGCATTTCTAATGTTCTGATTTAAATGACATATTTGTTATTACTGGTTTCCTTTTCTACCAATTCTCTTTCCAATTGATGAAAAAAAAAAAACCTTAACAGAAAAACATTATCTTCTAATCCAACTCAAGTAGGAGACCCTATACCGGTGATGGCTAACCTTTTTGCTCCTAGAAAGGCTCTGGAGCCTGGGGAGGGAGCGGGGGGGCGCGCGCGTGTTTGCTCACACCCATAATTCAATGCGCCCGGCTCCCCCCATGCAACCCCCCCCACTGCGCCTGCTTTTGGCATGTGATGGCCCGGTGGGCCCGGTAGGCCCGTTTTTTGCTCTTCCCAGGCTCCAGAGCCTTTCTAGGAGCCTGGGGAGGGCGAAAACAGCCTTCCCCACCCCATTCCCCGGAGGCCCTCCAGAGGCCCAAAAATCAGCTGGCTGGTGCGCACCAGAAATGAGCTAGGGCAATGCTTGCATGCCCACCGATATGACTCCATGTGCCACCTGTGGCACGCGTGCCATAGGTTCGCCATCATGGCCCTATACCATTTCCAGACAAATGGCCATCCTCCTTTAAAACCTCCAGTGATGGAGCACTCACAACTTCTGGAGGCAAGCCGTTCCACTGATTAATTGTTCTAACTGTCAGGAAATTTCTCTCCTTCATTAGTTTCCATCCATTGCTTCTTGTCCTGCCTTCAGGTGCTTTGGAGAATAGATTGACCCCCTCTTGTTTGTGGCAGCCTCTTAGATATCGGAACACTGCTATCATGTCAGCCCTAGTCCTTCTTTTTATTAAACTATACTAGACATACCCAATTCCAGCAACTGTTCTTTATGTTTTATCCTCCAATCCCCTAATCATCTTTGTTGCTCTTTTCTAAAAACTCTTCCATAAAACAAGGTATTTGGGGTTACATTTTTGTGAGTAGAGTGTGTTGTTCTTTCACCTATGTAGAAACCAGGAGGTCAAGAGGTATGTGTCAATTCGCAAAGCATCCCTGGCCTGCTCTCGAGTTGCCATAGGCAAGGGGGATGGCAAACCGATGAAGTAGCACTGCAGCCAAATACAAAAGTAAATTCCAGACATATCTGTCTCAAGACTGTCTCCCAGGGTGACCCACAGCGGTCGGAGGGGAGTGATTTCTACAACCCGCGAAATTGCTCCGTTGGAGAATGTGATTGAAGACACACCCTAGAGGGAGGGGAGAAACAGGGTCATATTTGGGGCTTAAATTACATGGGGTCAGTGTTGGCTTCACTTGGAATGTGGATTTCTTTTGAAGCTTGGCTCAAGGCTCATAATTTAGTTAGGGTATCTTAACTAACATCGGAACCCTGACAGTATGTGTGAATGGTCTGTCTTCCATTGTATAATCATCTCTCCAGTATTCTGCAGGTTCCCTCCCTTCCCACACTTTTCTTCGATCCGAAGGGGAAAACCTCATTCCTAAACTCCTGTCAAGAGTCTTTTTTTGACTGGGAAGTGTGGGTGCCAAGGTGGCTTCATTGAAATGTCTTATTAAAAAAGCATCCACACACAATATCAATTATTCCACCTCCAACAATCGGATGAACTCAAGAATACCAGCTAACGAATGACACCAATAATAGCAGATCCCACCTTTGAGAAATTCATGGAGAATTTCTTCATCCTCTGGAGAAATTTGGGGGAATTATCCACTTAATTGTTGTGCCCATAAATCTGCTGGAGAATATTGAAATGCCATCTGTGCCAGGCTATTACAGTCCTTGGCTTACAACCGTTTGTTTAGTAGCCATTCAAAGTTACATAGGCACTGAAAACAGTGACTTATGACCGTTTTTCACACTTACAACCATTGCAGCATTCCCCATGGTCACGTGATCAAAATATGGATGTTTGGCAACTGTCATGTATTTATTATGACAGCTGCAGTGCCCCGGGGGTCATGTGATCACCTTTTGCGAACTTCTGACAAAGAAAGTCAATGGGGAAGCCAGATTCACTTAATAACTGGTTTACTAACAGATTCACTTAACAATTGTGGCAAGAATGGTCGTAAAATGGGGAAAAAGTCACTTAACAATTGTCTCACTTAACAACAGAAATTAAATGGGGTTAATTGTGGTTGTAAGTCAAGGACTACCCGTATATTCTTGTTATTATTACTGCATAGCAATAAATATATATATATCCTCATATGATTCAAAGAGTATTCTCACCCATTCTTACCTCCTCTTGAAGGGAAGAAATCTTAAGAACGAGGGACTGATTCTCTTTTTCCTGATTATGAAAAGAAAGTGGAGAAGAGAAACAATCAGATGGTTATCAGGAACCTGAGCTGTGTGTTGACTTACATTCGGCACTTGCTCCATGTACCCAAAAAATAAAAATAAAAAATGCAACACAACTTGGATTGTAACAGATGGCCAAAGTTAAGGCATTAAGGCATTAATTAACCTAATCTTGCGAAGCTTCTTCTCCGGTAACATTGTACTGCAAATTAGAGCATACAAAACCTTTGCTAGACCAATTCTCGAATACAGCTCGTCTGTCTGGAACCCGCACTGTATATCGGACATTAATACAATTGAGTGAGTCCAGAGATATTTCATGAGAAGAGTCCTCCATTCCTCTGCTCGCAACAGAATACCTTATGCCACCAGACTTGAAATTTTGGGCTTAGACAATTTAGAACTACACCGCCTACGGTCTGACCTAAGCGTAGTACACAAAATTATCTGATACAATGTCCTATCTGTCTATGACTACTTCAGCTTCAACCGCAATAATACACAGGCAAACAGTAGATACAAACAAGGTAAACCGCTCCAAACTCGATTGCAGAAAATACGACTTCAGTAACAGAGTGGTCAATGCCTGGAATGCACCACCTGACTCTGTGGTTTCATCCCCAAACCCCCAAAACGTTAACCTTAGACTGTCTACTGTTGGCCTCACCCCATTCCTAAGAGGTCTGTAAGGAGGCATGCATAAACCCACCAACGTCCCTGTCCTATTGTCCCCATTTATTCGTATCCATTTCCTGTATTCATAATCATGTTTATACCTGTTATATCTGTTATCTAATACGTGTTTGACAAAATAAATGAATAAATGACAAATATCAACTCACAAGCTGTTTATTCTGGATTGCCATCAACTGCCTCTTTTCCTCAGAGGTACCCAGAGTGTTCTTCACTTCTTCCAATTCCTCTTTTAAAGTTTTTACTTGACTTGCAGACTGCTGGGAGCTAGAAAGCCAAAACCAAAAAAAAAAGCCCAAAATAATTTGTGATAGACAAAGAAACCTATGACATTTTCCCCCTAATGTTTCTTTGTAGTTACTTTTATGTGTTTTTTTAATTGTATGCACCAGGATCACATTCAGGGGTGGGGTGTGTGCGATAGATATAAATATGATATGTAAATAAATATATATATTTTTATTACAGCTACAGTGAAATTCAATAAAACAAAACTAAAAATGATACAACAGGGGCATATAATAAACAAAATCTAGATATAATGATTAAAAGTAACTAAAAATTAAAACCGTATACATTGGTCTTTCTCAACCTTGGCATCTTGAAGTGTGGACTTCAATTCCCAGAATTCCTCAGGCAGCCAGAAACATATTTTATCTTCTCAATTTTACAACAAAGACATTTCAAAACTGGACACATTTCTTGAACCCGATCTTTCTATGTACATGGAATAATTTTCTGAGTAGATCCAGAGACTTATTAGAGTCAGAGTTCTCGGATAAAATGGCACGATTCCAGATTTTGAAGTACAATTCGCCATCTCATTTGCATTTTTAATTATTAGATTTTTCTCCATAGGTGATATATGCAATGACTTCAAACAAGTCGATAGATGTAATAAAGCTCAGAAATAAATTCCTATGGTACTAAGTTCTCTAAAAATGCAACGTTTTAGAAGAATCTATTGCAATACTATGGCTGTGATTCCTCATTATACTAAACCTTGATTAAACCTTATATTGACATCCGTTTCCAGTGATCTCTGCAAGGAAATTAAACTTTGGTAAGTATGTGCCTGCCAGGATTTCTCATCATACATTTTAAGTATCTGCAGAAGACAGCTAAGCTCAATACAGTAGAAGTTTGTCCTCTACAAACACTGAGAGCTTATGTACCGGAGACGAATTCCTTGTGTGTCCAATCACACTTGGCCAATAAAGAATTCTATTCTAAAGAATTCTATTCTACATATGGGCATTTATGGTAAAGAAGGCTTTACACAGAAATACCCCTACTACGAAAAATTTTGGAATATGATTCATATTTTAATACAGAAAAATTTGAAAATGGAGATAAAGATGAAACCAGAATTCTTCTTTTTGGGTTTAATGGAAAAAGGCCTGGAGAAAAAAATTTAGAACTTTGTTATTATATATGTTGACTACTGTATGCACAAAAATGGAAGGACACTTTGATTCCTACTGTGGATGGACAAATGGTTGCAGAAGTTGATGGAAGTTGGCTGAAATGGCAAAATTGGCCATCTTGATTAAAGAAAAGAATATAAGCACTTTTATTTCCACATTGCGACTGCTTCTGAACTTTGTGCTTGAAGTGGAAAAGAATGAAACTTTGATTTTGGCTTTTACCGATTAGACTGATAGATCTTGATAGAAATGGCTTGTTCATATTCAGTGGTGGGATCCTTCCGGTTTAACAACCGGTTTGGTAATCGCGCACTTCGCTGTGCGCGAGTGCACAGTTCTACGAATAATCACCTTCTGAGTTAGTACTAGGGAATTAAAACAGCTGAGGCGCAGCAATCCGCTCTATTGCGCTACCGTATTTTTCGGAGTATAAGACGCACCTACCTTTTTTGGTGAGGAAAAGAAGAAAAAGAAATCTCCCTCTGCTTCTGAGCAATTTTGCCTCATGGCAGCAAACTGCAAACAGCCTGCTTTACTTTCATTTTCATTTTCAGCATAGCTTGAGTAGCACAAGGGGAAAAAAAATCTGCTCCAGCAATTTTCTTCCTTGCAACAAGCAGCAGAGGCCTGTGTAAAACAGCTGAGAGCAAAACAGCTGAGAGTCGGGAGGCCGATCCAATCAACTTGTGCTAATTAGGCTGTGCTGAAACTGAAAGGAGCTGTTTTTTCTTGCTGTTTGCTGCAAAGAGGTAACTGCTGGGAGACAGAAGCCAAAGGGTGGGGGCCAGTCGGTGGGCGGGGCTACATTTGGTGTATAAGACGCACCTAAATTTTCACATCCTTTTGGGGGGGGAAAGGTGCGTTTTGTACTCCAAAAAATACAGTAATCAGCTGCAAAAATACAGGTAAGTAAAGCGCAGGGGCGGGCCCAACTGATTGTCGGAGCGAACCAGTTCGCTCCCAGCTGATCGTCGGGGCTACTGGTTCGCCCGAACTGGTAGAATCCCATCCCTGTTCATATTATTATGAAAAAACAAAAAGTTGTGATTTGATGTTAATGCCTTATAGAAATAGAGAAATAGAAATAGAATTCTTTATTGGCCAAGTGTGATTGGACACACAAGGAATTTGCCTTTGGTGTATATTCTCTCAGTGTACATAAGGAGAATAAAATATATTCATCAAGAATAAAAAGATACAACACTTAGTGATAGTCAAGGTTACTAATAAGCTATAGAGAGTCAGAAGTCTATGTTTCTGGTTTTTTTCTCATCCTCCTCTCTCACTTCTCTTCCCCCTCTTCCTCCCCACCGTTTTCCTATTTATTTTCCTATTTTGTATCTTATTTTATTTCATAACCCAATAAAAATGTTAAACCAAAGAAACACCCCTACTACGGCATTTTTACTAGAGCAACAACAAATCTTGCTAAATCCACAAAAGAACTTTCATTTATTTTCAAAAGCATCGCACCTTTTTATCTGATTCCGCAGCTCCCCACCGTCTTCCACCAGTCTATTATTGGTCTCCTCCATGGCATCCAGTGCCAGCTTCAACTGGTCATTTTCCTCTTGAAGTTTCTGGTTGTTGAACTGAAGATCGGCTACACAAGTAATCAAGTCAGACGTTTCTCTGGAAGGGTAAAGACATTTTTACCTTTAATTGGTTTTTAACGGAGGAGATCAACAGCAGGATGGGCAGGATTAAATTCCCATTTAATGCTAAGAAAATTCCACCCTATCTGCAACTTTTCTGACTAAAGTCCCATCACCCACGAATAACTCTAAGGAACAGCACTCTTATGGATCAGACATACAGCTATTGTTCTCCACTGATAATCCAAATTCCCTCATTTCTGAAAGCTTATCCTTGAGAGGACATTCCTAACCGCAAATAAGAGGCAGTCCTCAACTTGCGACCACAATGGAGCCCTAAATTTCTGTTGCTAAAGCGAAACAGGGGTGAAGTGAGTCACGTGATTGAACTTTCAGGCACTTGGAAACTGATTCATATTTATGATGATTGCAGTGTCCCAGGATCATGTGATCACCTTTTGCGACCTTCTAACAAGCAGTCAATGGGGGAAGTCAGATTCAATTTAACAATCATGTTAATAACTCATCAACTGCAGTGATTCACCTAACAACAGTGGCAAGAAAGGTCATGAAATGGGGCCAAACTCATTTAACAAATGTTTGATTTAGCAACTGAAATGCTGGGTTTGATTGCAGACGTAAGTCGAGGACTACTTGTACAACCAACAAAGAGAAACTCACTGCCTCTCTTCGATTTTGGTGGTTGCACTGTTGGACCAATCTTACTATTAAGATACTATTTTCCCAACATTCAATTGTGTTTTGTTTTCCAATCTCATACACCCGTTGCTCTATATCAGGGGTGTCAAACTCAAGGCCTGGGGGCATGGATCCGTCCCACAGGGTGCTTAGATCTGGACTGCGGGGCCGCTGAGACAGCGAAGGACCAGCCTGCGGTGCCTCTGCCAGCGAAAACGGAGCTTAGGAGGGCTGCGTGCAGCCCTCCCGAGCTCCGATTTTGCTGGCAGAGGGTTGCAGGAGGCCGTCACAGCCGAAAACGGACCTTGGGAACTCGTTTTCGCTGGCAGACAGGCGCCCCCAACATGAGTGACGTCAAGCTGGCCACGCCCACCCTGGCCCCCTGTGGTCAAACACAACTCTGATACAGCCTTCATGAAATCGAGTTTGACTCCCATTGCTCTTTATCAGTGATGGTACCTTTTCCGGATTGAGTGCCCAAATGCGCCTGAACCCCCAAAATGCAATGTGTGTAGCCCCTCACATGCGCCCCAACCCCATGCACGCACGCCTTCCCCCGCACCACACCCCCCCCCCCCCCCCCCCCCCCCCCCCCCCCGTGCATGAGCGGCAGAGACCTGAAGACCAGCTGACCGGTGGGAGGCACGTTCCCATGCACGGCGGAGCTGAACTGGGGCGATGGCTCACGTGCCCACAGAGAGGGCACTGCATGCCATCTCTGACACGCGTGCCATAGGTTCACCATCACGGCTCTATATCTTGCCCGCTTGGATGAGTTTAACTTTCGGTGTGGCAGCCATTCAGACAGTAAAATGTTGTTATCACATACTTCCAGTCATTGAAAAGACTCAGTGTACCTATTACTCCTGCACAATTCCTATCTCTGATCTTGGTTTCTTTTGTTTTCCATTTCTGAAACCCAGCGACTAAAACAGGACTCACAAATCTCCTCTTGACACATCACCGCCAAGTGCTTCTAGGCTTCCAGAAGTTATGTTCAACCTTTTCGCTGCAAAAAGAAGTTTTCGGTGGTAAGGCAAGAAAGGAACCAACTGTCTGCCATTCCATTCCATAAAGCATTTTAAGCACAATGGTTGCTTCTGCATGCCTGATGTTATACTTTCACTTTTATGACCGTCCTCAAATGCCCTAATTTAGCATCTGACAAAAGCAAAATGAGTTTTTTTTGTAAACTGTAAAGCATTTTTCAAGAGGTAATCCCTGGTACATTTATTAAGATTTCTCTGCCTGGGAATAAGGAATAGCAATAACACTGAGACTTATATACCACTTCACAGTGTTTTCCAGCCCTCTCTCAGCAGTTTACCGAGTCAGCCTATAGCCCCCAACAATCTGGGTCCTCATTTTAACCACCTCGGAAGGATGGAAGGCTGAGTCAACCTTGAGCCGGTCAGGATCGAACTGCTGAACTGCAGCCAGCAGTAGCCTGCAGTACTGCATTCTAACCACTGTGCCACCACGGCTCATTGCTATCTTAGCAATGATAATCGTTTTTAACAGGACAGGGATAAGAGGTACCATTGGAAGGAACAAAGGAAACTAATAAACTCTTTAGTTTACCTAATCTTGGACTAATCCACCTCTCGTCAACTCTCTTGGTATGATCTGGTTCCTTATTCCCATATAACATTTTTTTTTTTTAAATATTCAATAAAAAACAAAAAGCTGGCAGGTTGCAGAACAAACCACCAATTTATTAGTTGAAACCAAGTTTACAAATGTGTTCAGCGACCCGGAAAATAATTCACCTGCTCATGCAAATAATTCAGCCAATTGTTTAGCATAGCTTCTTCCAGGGGTGAAATCCAGCAGGTTCTGACAGGTTCTGGAGAACTGGTAGCGGAAATTTTGAGTAGTTTGGAGAACTGGCAAATGCCACCTCTGGCTGGCCCCCAAGTGGGGAGGGAATGGAGATTTTGCAAAATCCTTCCCCCAGGAGTGGGGAGGGAGTGGGGGTTTTGCAGTATCCTTCTCCTGCCACGCCCACCACACCACGCCCACCAAGCCACACCACGCCCACCAAGCCATGCTCACAGAACCGGTAGTAAAAAAAAATTGGATTTCACCATTGGCTTCTTCCCTTCTAAACAGCCTCAAGAGTTCTCTTTAAGCTAGATTTATTGTGATGAAAGAATTAAATTTGTATTAACATTTCAGGACTCCCCCCCTCCACTTTCAAAGAAAAACCTATATATTTCAACATATATGTTTGGAGAGACTTAAGTCTTTTTCACAACCTTAAGCTGCAATGGAGGGAAGATAACTCTCTTATTGATAATGAGGAACTCGGCAGCTGATGGTTTACATAATCATTGTTAGTTTGAAAACCAACAGTGAGATTATTCCTATTGGACAGGAGGCATTGAGCTTCTCTTTTAGTCCTTCTTATGCATGTTATACACATTTCAATAAATTTAACTTTCCATAATACATAAAATATTACACTGATAAATCTGATAAATACCTGATAAATTATTTTCAGGGGTTGCCTCCTTGGTGGGTAGCTCATTCCTGAAAAACAAGGGGGGGGGAGTGTAATTCCAGGTATCTGAATACAAGATCACAGAAATGGCTCTAATTGATGATATTAAACATTTTTTTTGCATTTTCAATACAGTGTACTGAAAAAAAAAATTCTTTGTCATGATTTGAAACCTGTTTTGTTTCTTAACCTATACAATTATATGGCATTATATCATCCATCCTAACTTCTTATCAAAGACTCGTGTGTGTGTGTGTGTGTGTGTGTGTGTGTGTGTGTTTCTTTTCTTTTCGTAGGCCTTTATCTGTATTTCTCTTTAACCAGGTTCTTAACCAAGAACCTGGCTAAAGAGAAATACATATATATATACATACATACATACATACATACATATATACATACATACATACACATATTATGTATACTATAGAATAAAAGGACCTGCTTTGTAGTGGTTTGCTAACTGTGGTAGTTAAAAACCAGAAAGCAAAGAGCAGGAATAAATTATTTTTTTCAATGGACAACCACCAGATATGGGATCCATTAAGGATTCAAAGAACTGCAGAAGTTGTTTTTTTTAATTTATGTAAAACAAGGGTGTCAAGATCAAGGCCAGAGGGACCAGATCCAGCCAGCGGGGTACTTAGAACTGGCCTGTGGGGCCATCCTGGAAACAGCATAGGACTGGCCTGCAATGCCTCTGCCAGCAAAAATGGAGCTTGGGTGGCCCTCATGAGCTCCATTTTTGCTGGCAGAGGATTGTTGGGAGCCCGTTTTCGCTGGAAGAACGCTCGGTCCACCACAGGCGTCTGACATGAGTGACATTGAGCTGGCCACGCCCCCCCTGCCCCCCCCAAGGTCAAACACAACCCTGATGCGGCCCTCAAATGACATCAAGTTTGACACCTCTGTTGTAAAGAGTTAATCAATGGAGTTATGATCAATATAGGGGGTTATTATGCTTTGCACTACCAAAAAAAGAGATAATAGCCAGGTACCAGTTCCTTTTGCAATCTTCAATCCATTCTTTCATGATGGCATGGTAGGTCTCCAAGTCCATAGAGATATCCCTGTGATCAGGATCGAGCATGTTGCACAAATCTTCAAGGCCGCTGTCTTCTGAACTCCGACTTGTCGTGTTCCTCAGGAAGTCAACTAATTTAGAAACGGCAACTTTGCCTAAATGTAACAATGAAAGTTAAGAGGAGAGGTTCGGGTTCAGACGATGTTCATCGTTTTGGTGTAGATTGTTTTAAATTGTGAGTAGACAATTAGCATCCTGACTGCTAATGTCAACCCTTGACCTCTAACCACAAACTATGCTGACAATGTTTCAGCAACGAGATTTGCTGCTAAAATTTGGCATGGTAGAGACTCTAGCCATTGCAACCGTCGTAAGTTATGAACTACTTCCCAAATGTCTGAACGTGGATACACAATCAATGGGGATGCTGCAACAGTCGGAAGTATGAAAAACGGTCATAAATCACTTTTTTCAGGGCTAGTGTTGTAACTTTGAACGGTCACTAAATGAATAAACTCAAGGTCTACCTGTAGATGCAATCCAGATGGACCCAATGTATGCTTTTCCATTAAAATGGTAAAGAGAGAAAGATAGTTACCGTATTTTTCACACTATAAGAGGCACCTGACCATAAGACGCACCTAGGTTTAGAGGAGGAAAACAAGAAAAGAAATATTCCATGTCTACTGCCTCAGCCGGGGAATGCTGGAGCCTTCGCCGCTGATCGGTGGTTGGATTGGCCTCCCGGAATACTGCCGATCAGCTGTTCCAGGTGGCGGGGATTGCTGCTTCTGTTCACCAGTGCTACCTGTTACCACCACCACACCAACCGCCTCTGTAAAAGGATCCGCCGTCGTGGCCCGGTCTATGATGCAATATTTGCTCCATAAGACGCACAGACATTTCCACCCACTTTTGCAGAGGGGGTGTGTGTGTGTCTTATGGAGCGAAAAATATGGTACATTACAGAAGCATGCAGAGATTGATCAGTGTAGATTGACCTTTGGTATAAGAGGGAAGAAAGGGAATATGCTATCAAGACTTCACAGAATCTGATTACAGCCTATATCCGTGATGGCGAACCTATGGCACACATGCCCGAAGTGGCACACGGAGCCATGTCGCCTGGCACGTGTGGCGTCACCTGTTCCTCTTCCGGGTTTCTGGCGTGCATGCAAGCGTGATGATCAGCTGGCCTTTTTGCGTGCAGCGGTGCCAGAAACTGGAAGAGCTGGTCTTCCGTTTTCCTGCGTGAGCGTGCGCGCCGGCCAGCTGTCACGAGCGCATGCGTGCCAGAAACCCGGGAGACAAGCTGGCCGGTGTGTATGCACGCACCGAAAACCGGCAGTTCATTTTTGGGCTCGCACATGCGTCATTGGCAGTTGCTCCCCCGGGTTGCGGCCCAGACGCGTGACATGCATGTGCATGCTCCCTTTTCAGCACTCGGTGCTGAAAAGGTTCACCATCACTGGCCTATACCTATAAAATAGAGACCTACTGTATCCTGTAGTATTTACTTCTGGTTTACCTACAAGGGCAGACACATAGAATCTCATAACAAAGAAGATAACAACAAAGATAAAAGTGGTTCTGGAATTTAATTGCTAGAATCCAAAAAGAACATGAGAAGTTGCTAGAGCATTATGTATCTTGAATTGTTAAAAGTTGCCGTGGCTCCAGAGAGGTTTTAAACGGATTCTTTTCTAACCCTATCCAAATCTATGGGAGGACAAAATCTAGGATTTTGTACATACAGCTCATGTATTTTATTTATTTGCTTAATTATATCTCACCTTTATTATTTTTACAAATAATACAAATACCTCAAGGCGGTGGACATAACTAACATGCCTTCATCACCTTCCTATTTTCCCAACAACCATCCTGTGAGGTGAGTTGGGCTGAGAGTGAGTGACTGGTCCAAAGTCATCATTTCATGGCTGATGGGATTTGAACTCACAAGTCACCTCGTTTCTAGCCTGGTATCTTAACCACTAGACTAGATCAAATTGGCTTTACTGCAGGATGCTGCAATCAGATGCAAATGCAGGCCAGTTGTCCAAAACCCAAAATGCGATCATACATCACTTGCGGGAGGGGAGGGGCAGGCATCAAAACTTTGAATCCAGATTGTACATAGTCCTGGGGAGGTCTGTTGTTATGTTTGAATGGCCATAAATTGAGGACTACCTATATAAGGAAAGCCTAGAGGTGGAGCTCTAGGCTTTTATAGAAAGAAAGGCTAGAGGTAGAGGTCTGATTGCCACAATCAGAAGGTTGTGAGTTCGATCCTAGGTAGAGGCAGATGTAGGGTCTCCTGCTTGGGCCGAGGGTTGGACTAGATGACCTGCAAGGTCCCTTCCAACTCTGTTAATCTGTTCTGTTCTAAGTAGCCTCCCACATTCATTTTGGAACTCTTCAACTGTTACCTTACCTCTTCTTTCCACATCGCATGCAGAAAACATAGTAGTCAGTAGGTCTTCTTCACAAATCAGACTTACGTCAGAGTCTTCGTTGTCTCTGTTGTCCATTGCCACCTTCCATCCTATGAAGACAAACAACACTGGAAGCTGGTTTGTTTTTCCATAGGTAGCTAAAAGAATTGTTTTTAACTGGGTTTTTTTATATTATTATTATTATTAGTTCAATTTATATGCCGCCTTTCTCCGGAGACTCAGGGCGGCTCAGGGTGTTTTCCTGCTCACTTTTTTTTAATGCCATATATATTTATCTGGATTAAATGTTTTTGAACTTTGAAGCAAAACAATTTGCTTCTCAAATTCAATTCTTCCCAAGTCTTATCTTTTCCTTCCTTCTGTTCAGCTTGTACATTTATTACATCTAAAATCAGGTTGAAAAACCATTTTGTCTTTCTGACTGCCCTCCCATTGTTAGTTTCCACAAACTGGCCAAAGTCATACTACTGTATAAAAGGGCAGGATACATCATAAAAAGCAAAACCAGAGGGAATGGAATTGAATATAGAACAGAACAGAACAGAACAGCAGAGTTGGAAGGGACCTTGGAGGTCTTCTAGTCCAACCTCCTGCTTAGGCAGGAAACCCTGTAGCATTTCAAACAAATGGTTGTCCAATCCCTTCTTAAAAACTTCCAATGTTGGAGCATTCACAACTTCTGGAGGCAAGTTGTTCCACTGATTAATTGTTCTATCAGAACATTTCTCCTTAGTTCTAGGTTGCTTCTCTCCTTGATTAGTTTCCACCCATTGCTTCTTGTCCTGCCCTCAAATGTTTTGGAGAATAGCTTGACTCCCTCTTCTTTGTGGCAGCCCCTGAGATATCAGAATACAAAAACAAATCAGGAGTGAAATCCAGCAGTTTCTGACAGGTTCCGAACAACCGGTAGCGGAAATTTTGAATAGTTTAGAGAATTGGCAAATACCACCTCTGGCTGGTCCCAGAGTGGGATGGGAATGGAGATTTTGCATTCCTGGAATGGGGTGGAAATGGAGATTTGGCAGTATTCTTCCCCTGCCACACCCACCAAGCCACGCCTACCAAGCCACACCACACCCACCAAGCCATGCCTACAGAACCGGTAGTAAAAACATTTGAATTTCAACACTGATACAAATACATACAATTAATACAAATAACACAGAAGTAGCCTGTGTGGCTACCTTCAGTCCTTACCGAAGGAGAATCTTTTGGGTGGAGGAGAAGGAAGAGTGGGCTGTACGGATTTTGATCCTTGGATAAATAAATCAGGACTCGATGTGAAATAGTTGCATTCCAGAGATGATGTGACCTTTGGCTCGATGTTAGAGTTGCCACAAAGATAATCAGAGGTTGACTCTCCATGTTTAATGAGATGGGGTGAACCGTTCCCTCTCTGGTTTACCAAAACCCATGATTTGTTGAGCTTCTCTTTATTCCCACCCAGAGAAAAGGACTCGGAGCGAATATCCGAAATACGTCGATGACGTGGTGTTTGCACTATGCCAGGGCTTGGAGAGAAGATGTTGTCACTGGAAGGACTTAGCAAAAAGAGGTTGGTGTCCAGGGAACTGTTGCTTTTTAGTGTCCTTTTCTTCAAGATTTCTTCTAGGTTCTTCTTTGTGTTACTCTGTGGACTGTCAAAGTTTTTTGATTGGAATTTTGGAATCTGCAAGGCAGGATTCGAAGCTTGGTCCATCATGTTGATAGCTTGGAGCTTCCTGCAAAGGCTGGCCACAGGATGATGGCGTTTCCCACATGTATCTTTGGAAGACATTCTGCCCCCTGTTTGAGAGGTTACCTTAAAAGTGTGTGTGTGTGTATGCGGGGGAGAGATATAAATTTTTAAAAATGATAAGATTGAACCTTCAGATATTTCCTTCATTTATCCAAGATTTAAATTCAAGGACATTCAAAGTTAATGGGATGGATCACCGTTTTAACTTATTTTTCAGGTTTTAGTGTACAATAGGAACAATATAATTTAGCCAGAGAGAGCTCTAAAATTTGTCAGCCCCCTCAATGTATTTCTCATCATTCTATCCATATAATTCAAGACTTACAGAATCGTTCAGATTCTTTTTTTTAATGGGTTTTTTAAATTAGAGCTTTTTAAAGGATTTCTATGATTGCCCATCTCATAATATTTTTTTTTTAATTACACTTTCATCTGTCGGGACCTCATCATTTTTCAGATTCTTATAAGAGTGGTCCTTGAATTACAATCATTTGTAAGTCATTTGTTAGTTCAAAATTACAAGAGCACTGGAAAAAAAACCACTCTTATGACCAGTCCTCATACTTATAACCATCCCAAGTCCCTTAATAAAGTCACGTAGGGTTTTAAAAAGTCGGCACTGCCACATTGAATTGGACCCAGAAACAAACTGGCAACCATATTTACCTGTTACAAGAGTAGCCAAAGGCAGGTTTTCAACATCAGGGATACAAATTGTTGCTTTTGAAAGCCAAAATGGCTGCCTGGGAACAAAATGGCTGCCTGGGAACAAAATGGCTGCCCAAGGGGAACACCGCTTTCCCACAATGTTTCTGATCACGCTAGCAGGTCCTTCCTGCCATTCAAAAACATCCCTGTAAAGAAATCTGAGATGTTAAAAGGCCGCTGCTTTGATCTCTAGCATGCCAACTTCCTCATTAATTACTTTACAGAAGAATTTAAAGGGAGAAAAAAAAAACCAAGGAAGGAGGTTAACACGCAGGCTGGAAACACAATAACAGCTTTCTGCACCACCTGATGTACACAACAACATGTCAACAATTTCCTCCTAAACAGGAGTGATCTGCAATGTTTTATCAGGAATTAGGAACCAAAACAGATAGGCCAATACATTTTTTAAAAGGAACCTCCTTGCAGGTTTTGAACAGCTAACGTAAAAAAGATCATACCGAGTTCACAATGGCAGCAATGCACTTAATTAATTAGAATTGCTTTTGATGGCAGCGGCATAGAAATATATTTAATAAATCCATCAACAACAACAACAACAACAAAAACCCCAGCTGATTCCATCTACTAGTCAAGTCAAGTGCCAAAGTCAAACCATCAATTCCTAACATTAAAAAGCAAACTCTCCCAAGTATTCCTTTGGCAGAAAAATAAAACTGCAAGGTGAATTTTGGCACAATATGAATACATTTGCATGCAATGCTATTCCAAAGAAGCTACAGTAGTGGCCAAAATTGTGGAAGCCTTTTGGGAAAAGTGTATTTTCTAAAACTAGCTAATAACATCACTTTTTTTAGAGTAGTACCATGAATGATTGTTTCTATTAACTGGGTTTTATTGCTGGGTCGTTTCTGACTAACAAGTTTCTTTAGTCAGCTCCATAGAGTTTCAATTGGGTTAAGGTCTGGGCTATTTCCAGGCCATTCCAGGAGTGGAATAGGATTATCTTGAAACTCCAAAAAAAAAAGTGGTGTTATTAGCCATCAAACCTCAAAAATATACTTTCCCCAAAATTTTGGCCACTACTGTATATAGCCCACCAATGATAATGTATTTTAGATTTCACATATTTTAAAGACTCGTCATTGAGCTTACATTTCCTCTGCTTGGTGCTCACCAAAAAATTGTTTCTCAACCTCAGCCATTAAGATGCATGGACTTCAACTCTTAGAATTCCCCAGGCATGGCTGGCTAGGGAATTCTGGGAGTTGAAATTCATATATCTTAAAAGTTGCTGAGGTTGAGAAACAGTGATCTAATATATTGGGTAAGCACCAAGTAGTGGGAAATGTAAGCTCAAATGAGAAGCTTACATTATCTCAATCACAGTCCTAGAAATCAGAGAGGCTGAGTGTTTTAATCCAGCATATTTGAAGGTATCATGGTTGGAAAAACCCCTGTAGAATTTAGAACTGGTACTCTACATGAGACATAGAAAAGTTGCCTTCGGAAACTGTGGAAGCTTCATCACTTGAGACTTTCAAAAAAAGATTGGACTGCCATTTGTCAGAAATAGTGTAGGGTCTGCTTGGCCACGGGGTTGGACTAGATGACCTACAAGGTCTCTTCCCACTCTGTTAATCTGTTAAACTTCAACCAATTAAAATTGGACATAATAAATATAGAAACAGAATCCCCAGTAAGCATAGAATTACCCATCTTGAAAAATGCTGACTTTTTATTTTGATATAGCCCATTTTCTCCCATATTGGTGAAAAATGGGAGAAGATTCCAAAGGTTGATGACCACCAGGGCCGGATTTTCCTATAGGCTAACTAGGCTTCAGCCTAGGGCCTCAAGATCAAGAGGGACCTACATTCCCTACATTCAAATTGTTAGCAAAATTAAAATTACACTTTCACTATAGGTGAAAGGGCCTCATAAGTGGAATAGCCTAGGGCCTCTTTTCATCTAAATCCGGCCCTGATGACCACTGATTAACAGAGTTGGAAGGGACCTTGTAGGTCATCTAGTCCAACCCCGCCCAAGCAGGAGACCCTACACCCTTTTTGACAGAGGGCAGTCCAGTCTCTTCTTGAAAGCTTCCAGTGATGAAGCTCCCACAACTTCTGTTCCATTGGTTGACTGCATCCTTCATTATTTCATTTACTCCAAAGTATAAACTAAACTGTTGCACACATGTGCAGGCCTTCCCATCTAGGAGAACGCTGCCCTCATAACTAATATCACCTGCACAGAAATTTTCTTTCTAGAGGATTTGAAAGAAAGTCCAATTCAGCAGCGTTCCTTGGCAGAAATGCAAAAAAACAGTAGAAACAACAAATAACAGTTTTCTGCACCACCTGATGTACACAACAACATGTCAATAATTTCCTCCAAAACAGGAGTGATCTGCAATGTTTTATCAGGAATTGGGAACCAAAACAGATAGGCCAATACATTTTTTAAAAGGAACCTCCTTGCAGGTTTTGAACAGCTAAGGTAAAAAAGATCATACCGAGTTCACAATGGCAGCAATGCACTTTAAAAAAAAAAAACGAACAAATATTCCACCAGGATTTCTTGGCTCAATTCTGCTAACTTTCCTGCATAGACAGACAAATGTTGGGCTTTAAACTGCAAGAAATATAGCACAAAAATGAGAATTTTGAAGTTCTTTCAATATCATACCCCCAGGAACATTCAATGGAAACTCTTTCTCATTTTTTTTTCTTAAGCACTAATCAACAAGCCCAAAATAACCTATAAAAGCAACATCAAGCTCTGAAAATAGAAAATCAAACTTAATTCCTCTCTGCTACTAGAAGTCTGGGGTGGGGCGGGGCTAAATAAAGTCATGTGACCAGAAACACCGGTGTTATGTTGGCTTTTTAATTAGCCACAATTTCCTGCTTTTTAAATTGTGTTTCTCCTTTCTGTTATGGGAAGGGGGGGGTGGTGAGAGGATATTCTTTCAGAAAGTGAGCATTTGAAAGGGACAATTCACCAATTAATATTGTTTTTATGTAATTTGGAGTAATCTGGATTGTTGAACAGAATGCTGGGGAAGTGTGTTGTTTGATTTTTTTTTAAAAAAATACAACTTTATTGAGTTTTTTAAAAAAAGACAGAAAATTAATAGTCAAAGAATGGAAAAGAAGTCAGAATATAGAGAGAAATAGCAAATAGAGGCGCAATAAAATTAAAAATATAGAAAGATGCATTGTAAAAAAGAGGGACTTCCAACTTGCTTTTTTAGCAGATATAAATAACATTTATGTTCAACTCTTGCTCAACAAATGCAATATAACCTCCATTTTTAATCCATACATTTTACTAATATCAAATCCATATGTGTCATGATTTCTTCTGTTTCACTCAAAAAGTCCAAAAGACATGGCTGTGATTTCATGTTTATTGTAGGAGGCACTCCAGTAGGCTTAATCCTAACAAACACCAGGGTTTTTTTTTTCTAAGAGTTTTACTTTAGGATAACCAACTTCATTCATCATCATAAATGGTTTGGCTTGACATAGCGTATTGTTCTTAAAACTCACATTTAAGAAAATCCCTGCTGAGTGTTATGCTTAACCTACTCTCAACTATTACCTTAAATCACTTTTCTGCTGCTATTAATAGGACAAATTATAAAAATCCACTCTTTGATTTTTTTAAGTGGGGGAAAAATCTGCATTAATGGAATGTCTGAACTGCACCACAGCTGTTGAATGAAAAGGGGCTATAAGGGGGTGATAGACACAATAAACCTGCTGTTTTTCCTCACAAAAGTAGAGTTTTGTAGCTTTTTGAGATAGAATGCCTGCATATTTAAATTACCATTGAATGCAGAAGCTAATCTTGCAGTGAGATCTCAATGCTTAAACTAATTATTACAGTTAGCAAACAAAATTGGACAATTTTTTCTTCTACGAACATCCACCTGTGTTTTGTACTGCCTAGGACTCAGGCAAGGAAGATTGGCTGTTTCACTTGAGAAGGTTTGGGAAAAACGAAGAAAACATTTGAGAAATGAGTCAGAGAAGGGAATTAGGGGGAATCAGCCATATTGAATTTAATTCTCACTAAAAGAGGTAAAGCAGACACAAGTGATGGCTCAACTTGAGCCCAAAATTCCTGTTGCTAAGCAAGGCAGTTAAATGCGCTTTGCCCGATTTTACAACCCTTTGCCACAGTTGTTAAGTGAATCCCTGCAGTTGTTAAGCAAATCCCTGCGATTGTTAAGTGAATCTGGCTTCCCCCACTGATGTTGCTTGTCGGAAGCCAGCTGTGAAGGTTACAAATGGGGATCACGTGACCTAGGACAGTGCAATGGTCATAAATATGAACCAGTTGCAAAGCAGCCGAATTCTGGTCGCGTGACCACGGGGATGCTGCAGCGGTACAAAAACCAGTCATAAGGCTCTTTTTTCAGTGCCACTAAATGAGTGGTTGTAAATC